CAATCTCGTGATATTTTGTCTGCTGTCTATAGATACGAACATTGTGTGGGTATGTCTGGTCTATACAGTAGAGGCAAGAATTTAGTAGAGACAAAGCAGAACTATTGTCCTGGGTATCAGTTTGTCTGACTGGAATAAACATTAAGATGGTAGGATTTAGTCCGAGAAATCAAATAATAAATGTTAGGAAGATATATTACATCATAGCTACAGACGCTGTCTCTACACACGAGAATCATACTTCGATACACTCACCGATTTGTAGGTGAGGCGAATGAAGGACAGACACCGGAATGCATTATGGGAATGTAGACACGGGCATTCTACCCTGCTAATAGAGGTCTCTGCCAAACTGCTGCCAAGCTTTTTTCGAACAGTTTAACGGTTACTGGGAAATGGATCGCAAGGTTCCACCAAGGACTGCGTGACATGGAGGCAAGTGACATAATCTCTGCATGACCATTTTGTCCCACTAACGTTGTTTTTAAGAAGATTTTTGCACGGTACTACACCCGATAATGGTTACTTTTGTATTGGATGGACCTCGCCGGTACAATTGCGTTGTGTGTTGAAGCCTTGCCGTTCATGCTTACACTATGCCAGTGTGTGACATCAGTATTTGTGTTGACAGTTCTGTTCTTCCGTTCCACTTCCATATCTCCAGGAACTTCTACAATATCTCCCGTATTAACCTTCGAGGGAACCATGGTGCTTCACCATTAGTCAGAATCGTTATGAATCTTGGAGTACAGGTGATTCTGAATGCTTCTTGTAGAACCCTAGCAATGCTCATCTATGTGCCACCCTGCTGGTGATGCATGGTCTGCCAATATTCTGAAGTGTTGTACTTAACCTTAAGCGAATCTGGTCCATGTGTCATATTGTTGCTGATGCCTGGTCTATGGACATTCTGGAGGCTTCAAGTAGAAAACTTGCGTAGCTCATCCATGTGTCATCTTGTTAGTGATGTGTGATCTGTGAACATTCTAAAGGCTTCAAGAAGGGCACTTGCGAATCTCGTGCATGTGTCATCTTGTCGGTAATGTATGATCTGTGAACATTCTGAAGGCTTCAAGTAGAACACTTGAGAATATCGTCAATGTTCCATCTTGTTGCTGATGCCTAGTCTTTGAACATTCTGGAGGCTTCAAGTAGAACAGTAGTGAATATCGTCCATGTGCCATCTTGCTGGTGATGCCGGGTCTATGAACTTTCTGGAGGCTTCAAGAACGACACTTGCGAATCTCATCCATGTGTCATCTTGTTAGTGATGTGTGATCTGTGAACATTCTAAAGGCTTCAAGAAGGGCACTTGCGAATCTCGTGCATGTGTCATCTTGTCGGTAATGTGTGATCTGTGAACATTCTGAAGGCTTCAAGTAGAACACTTGAGAATATCGTCAATGTTCCATCTTGTTGCTGATGCCTAGTCTTTGAACATTCTGGAGGCTTCAAGTAGAACAGTAGTGAATATCGTCCATGTGTCATCTTGTTGCTGATGCCTGGTCTATGGACATTCTGGAGGCTTCAAGTAGAAAACTAGCGAATCTCATCCACGTGTCATCTTGTTAGTGATGTGTGATCTGTGAACATTCTAAAGGCTTCAAGAAGGGCACTTGCGAATCTCGTGCATGTGTCATCTTGTCGGTAATGTGTGATCTGTGAACATTCTGAAGGCTTCAAGTAGAACACTTGAGAATATCGTCCATGTGCCATCTTGCTGGTGATGCCGGGTCTATGAACTTTCTGGAGGCTTCAAGAACGGCACTTGTCAACCTCATCCATGTGTCATCTTGTTGCTGATGCCTGGTCTATGGACATTCTGGAGGCTTCAAGTAGAAAACTTGTGAATCTCATCCAAGTGTCATCTTGTTGGTGATGTGTGATCTGTGAACTTTCTGGAGACTTCACGAAGGACACTTGCAAAACCCGTCCATGTGTCATCTTGTTGGTGATGCGTGGTCTGTGAAACATTCTGGAGGGTTGTATTTGGACTTATATTTGGTCTTATACAAATGTCATCTTGTCGGTGATCTGTGAACATTCTGCAGGCTTCAAGTAGGTCACTTGCGAATCTCGTCTGTGTGTCACCCTACTGGTGAAGCCTGGAATATGAACATTTTGGAGGCTTCAAGTTAAACACTTGCAAAACTAGTACACGTGTCATTCTACTGAGTGAGTGAGGGTATGTTGCAATAAGCACTCAGCAATATCCAAAGAATTTCACAGGTGAGGTAGTACGTCAGTGGGTTATGAGCGGGTACCTGAAACGTCGTGGTACGATTGCTACGAAAGCGTCAGCGGGATTAGTGATCTGTTCGAGCAGCAGTTTACATTGTCACGAAATTGCTAGAAAAAATCGCTGTGTAAGCACAAACAATTCAATTTCGTCATGACGATTTTCGCACTGAATCAAACTGAATTAATCGTTATGTACACAGTATGTGGGTGTGAGTTAAAATCGGCATTTTGTAAGGTATAACGCGACGACATAAAGTTTGTACGTATACACAAGTGTTTGGTACACAGACTTCTCCCATCTGACCTTGACCTACAATAAACCCAGCGCTAAACAAAATTTCTTTGTGTAGATACGTGTTTCGTTATAATGAATCTACGAAGGAACGCAGAGTTAACACGTGCTAGTTTGGTTGAGTAACTGATATATCTCAGTGAAGTCTCTTCATTCTTGTATGAATTAAAATAGAACGACCCAGTGGTTTGTTTCACCTGTGACTGCCGTTATCTTATCTAAGCAAATAACACAGGGTCTACATTCATGTAACCTACGGTGTATGAGTTTCACGTAACTTGGTTCAAAATAGAACCAAACACCGATAAGTAATCTATGCACGATGTATGTATGGTAACGTATAAACAAGCAAATATTGAGTCTTCTGTGGGTGTAGTTTGTTCGTTTGTTGATTAAAGCCACGGTCTGCAATTTTCAAGCCATATGGTGGAGGTTCGTAAATTGTCGAGTCTGAAAATCCAAGGATTGGTATAAACAACCGGGATACCATGACACGCATCGGGTCAGGGAGCCTGACCGCCTGACCGCCTGACCGCCTGATCCTCCAAGTCGGCAGGGGGTCACCATATATTCACACTGTTGTCTGATTCCTCATTGTTCTCTGTGGCCTTGGTTTGTTCTGTTGACGCAGGACAGAAGAGTGCCCGGGGTTCTCCACTCCGAGCACAGTCCATCTGACACCCTGAGATGTTTCCACATTTCCAAGTTCCAGGTGGGTCAACTAAGCAACGCTTCCTGGTAGAAGTCAAAAGAATTTACTGTCTGGGCGTGGTGTAGGGGGGCCCTGAGCTGATGATGAACCTTACCAGTTCGACTGTGCCGCTCTCACCCACTACCTGCATAAAATCTATTTCAGTCGGTATTGCAACAACAACAACAACAACAACAATAGTGTCACTACTTATAGCCACCATACACCCGTCGCCTATCTACAACCAGAGACCATATACTAGTACTAGTATATCTATTATATGGTCTCTGCTACAACGCTTAGAGAATGTATTGCTATTACATCATATGTTCCCTGGATATTCTCGAACTCTCAATAACAAGCCTGATGATAGTGGGTCCTATATCCCCAATATAGGACCCTCTGGGTGATGTTTATCATATATCCTCCCACATATCCCATGCATCATGCATACTGAACAATTGTCTGCATGAAATGGCGTTATAAGGAGGACGAGTCCAAACCAGTACACATATTCCCCAAGGGTGGACTTGCCTGTGCTCATCCTTTCGCGAATGCCTTGTATCACTTAAGATTCATAGCCACGTGCGATAAACTCCGAATCACTTTCTTATGATAATGGAAAGAGTTCTGTGCTTTAATACCGCGCCACGCCCTGACTAATATCAGCCTGGTTCCCGGGGTCTGTTGCGCCTGCGCTAACGCGCCGACTGTCAGTGTTGGAGCGTTAGCGCAGGCGCAACAGACCCCGGGAACCAGGCTGGGACTAATATTTGAATATTCTTTTGAGTGCGAAACCCTGATTCGTTTTCAACATCTAACCAATCTAATTGAAATGCGTGACACGTTGTTACTACAACATATTCCATGTGATAGCATAACAATCCCATTTGTCACTGTTGACCCACAATGCACCATTGCCCTACAGTCAAATACGAACGGTCATCGACGTGGAAAATATCTGCTCTTATAATATTATACAAGATGTCTTTTGGGGCAAATCTGTACTGACGCGTCATTTGCCAATCACATGGGGATTATTTTATTATATTCCGCAGGTATTTACTAGCCCTGCTCCAAGGCTGTACTGAAGGCTAATACCATGCATGGATAGTAATTCCATCCTTTAAAGAGGCAAGTCTAGATAAGGGGACAGGGTCCCAGTCTGTTCTTTATTTTATTTTTAGAAATTATCATTTACACTATTAATTCTATCTTTGGAGACTTGTGCAAGTCTAGTATTTACTAAATGTCCGAGATATGGCGCCGCATGCCTGGCACTCCTCATGCATATTTTCATTTAATATTTTTCTGCTGGTGCTACGTTCTTGTCATATGTTCTAAACATATTACTCATGAAAGCAACAGCCCATGCATACCGATAGAGTATGATGCTTGAGCCGCACATTTGAAAACTTGATTTGAACCCAAAAATTCCAACGTTATCAAAAAGGTATTAAGCTGAAAACAGTCGCAGGTTCATTCCCATATGGAATACACCATCACCGCAAAACCAGTTTGGTTTGTTTAACTTATCCACCATCAAAACTGGTATACGTTCTTTTGCATGGCGGGTTTACCTGAATCGTTCTCAGAACAAATAACAGTTTATATTTCGTTTTATGTCTTTACATGATTACATATGTTATAGAAACAGTTTACTGGAAAATATTCGGCAGCTGGCCTTATTGTGTGACGATCAGTTACAGATGTATTAAACAGATGTGAATGGTTCTCTTGTTTTGGAATCGTTAAGGATCATGGATTGATACTTACTGATGATTATCGCTGCGAGGAGCCTGATAGATGAAGAGGGAGGGTCGCAGTCGGGGAAGACGGGACGAAGAATGTAGGTGGCAAATATCAGACTAGCAGCGGCCACCCCCACTGGGCACAGAATGATAAGATTCACCCACAGACACAGAAACGCCGGACAATCTCCAAAAGCACGTTTAATGTACACATATTCCCCTCCCGATTCTGGAATCGAAGCACCAAGTTCTGCAAAACACAAGGCACAGAGTGTCGAGTAAACTCCACACAGCGCCCACATTACACAAGACATTCCGACAGAGCGCACATTGTAGAGGATCCCAACTGGGGACACGAAAATCCCTGCTCCGATGATAATCCCGACGATTATAGAGACACAGTGAAAGAGGTTGATCTGTTTTTTTAACTGCACTTTTTGCTGAGGTTGGGAGTCGAGGCCTTGAGCGAGGGTCCTCTTGCCTTTAGCCCCAGCTGCCATCCTTGCTGTTCAGGGATCGTCGTTCGACTGTCACGAACAGTAAAATTTTGGTCACGTTGAATATGCATGTCAGATACCAAGGTCTACATACTGCGGCCCTGACACAGTATACAAAGTAGTTAGTAGCGGTTTGTACTGTCAAAATGATTAGATTACACGGTGCTCACCCTTGAACCTGCAAGTAGGCTATTGTGTCTAAACACTGACATCACCTTACATAAGGTGCGAGGCTATCAGATCATCACCCCGTGACCCACACCTACGTCCATAGCTGAAACAGCATCCGTATCTTTGTTACGTATATCTCCACTGACGTATCATATAACCCATTTTATGCGTAGAGGGCATTAAAAAGGGTTTCAATAATTTTTTATGACTTTGATGTCACACCCGTATTATTCACACCCGTTTTACATTCAAAGACCTCTTTAAGGCAGATACTATAGCGATTGAGTTAAGTTTTACGCCGCACTCAGCAATATTCTAGCTATATGGCGGCGGTCTGCCCGATACTAGAGACAGGAATACAACAACTACAACAACAAGAACAACAGTATTTTTGTAAAACTGAAACAATAATAATGGTCATGTTTTTGCTTCATGTTTTAGGGATGCCATAGTCAGAATCCCTGAACCATGTTAATTTCCATTCCTCTCATCCCTTACTCTGGTGTTACAGCTCGAAACAGGGCAGGTTTAGATTTCTTTAGGTCTATATCATGTGAGACCTATGTTTGTTGTGAGAGATATAAGATGGATCAGGTGGTCAGGTTGGTGACTTGGTTGACATGATGTCATCGTGCCCCACTGACACCAATATTATGGATCGTTCCTCATAATATCAATCGCAGGATTGTCTGGTTCAACCTCAGTTATTTACAGACTGCCGTGATTTAGCTGGAATACTGTTGAGTGCGACGTTACTCAACATTACCCCACAAACGTTAACTCAGCGAGTCGCCTCTTACGACAAGCATTGGTTGCTGAAGACCAGTTCTAACTCTGATCTTCAGAGTTGGTGTCGGCAGTCTTGCTAGTATCTCAGATCCAGCGGAACAGTGATGGAATACTAAAACAGATCTGATCGGTTTGATCACAAAGGTGCTGATTTAGGAAACATCAAATGTAAACTTATAAATGCGGTTCGTCTCATTTTAAAGAAAAGCCGGAAATAGATTCAAGAATGTCGTCAAAACGTTATGGATTTTATGTTCAATTCCAGCAACCATCAACAGCCAATACACATGACTATAACATTTTTTTTTAAATCAGTATTTCGAAGGTTCGTCACGCCGAGAAGGTCGATTCCCCATGGGCACAATGTGTTAAGCCCATTTCTGGTGTCCCCGCCGTGATATTGCTGGAATATTGCTAAAAGCGGCGTAAAACTAAACTCAATCAGTATTTCGAGAAGGTCCTTCACCAGTCACGGTACACTAGTTCACGATTCTGGAACACTGTACCTATCTTCTAAACCAAAAGATGAACGAGGAGACTGTGAAAAATGTTGAACCAATTATTGATTTAATTACAGGTCGCTTTCCAAGTGCTTGGGCTACAACAGTCATGAGCGCAGTTTCATGACGATGTGTTCTTATCAGATGGGTACTTCCCCGAAGATTCAGATATTCTTGGAGAAAAGTAACAGTGGGGTTGCGAAACGAACGTACACATTCCCATATCGACAATATATGTTACTGACGTATAGGAACACATTACACGCTTAAAAGGTACAGTTTATTGTTTTTGTAGATTTTAAGCAACCGTTTTATTTGGTAAGTAGAAGTAAATTGATATTTTAGCATGAAATTGAATAGACATACACTGAAAAACTCTAGAGTTTAGAGAACGTAACGTAAATTCAGATGTTTATATGTCTGCAATAATGGAAACACATAATCTGAGTATTATGCTTGCTTGCTTGGTCTACAGCAAGGATGCACTCTCTGTCGTTTACATTTTCTGTATTTTAAACTATTTTGAGGAATTATATTTTCTAGGTTTAGATTTGTATTCTTATCAGAGGAAATGTACAATTAAATGTCTTTCATTAGGGTATCTTAGAGGACAGAGGCACTTTCTTTTAAGTTAGTGAATGAGTGAATTTGTAAATGAGTTTGATTTAATGCCGCTTTTTACAGTAAACAGCTTATTGTTGGAGTGGTGGAGGTCTGAGACGATAGGGGGCGGTGGGGTAGCCTATTGGTTAAAGCGTACGCCCGTCACGTCGAAGACCCAGGTTCGATTTCCCACACGAGTACAATGTGTGAAGCTCATTTCTGGTGTCCCCTGCCGTGATATTGCTGGATTATTGCTAAAAGCGGGGTACAACTAAACTCACTCACTCACTACTTGTGACTTTAGCTAGCTACCAGTAAGGCAGTACTGGAGGTCCGCTAATTGTTGGGTACAAGGAGCTATTGTCCCCTGCTGTGATATTGCTGGATTATTGCTAAAAGCGGCGTACAACTAAACTGACTCACTCACTCTGAGACGTTTGCCACGTAAGTGAAAACAACTGAGCTCGAGTATGATACTGACAAACTTATTCGCCTTGACGCCATGTTCGAGAAATAGTTTATCTGATACTATAGATAATGTTTATATTACTATACTGATACCTTCAGTCATATCCATCGTGTTACCGATAGCGTTATTAGTCAATAATGTGTCGCGCCATCAAGCTGAAGAATGTATCTTAACGGGTTTAAGGAAGCACTCCTATAATATTTTATAGCTACGTTCTCATTGATTGGACCTTGCTTTCAACTGTTGACACAATAATGAGCGAGTTCGTTTTCCGCGTTGACCTGATGTGAGAGCAGCCTGGTTCCTGGATACGGAGTATTACCATCTCCGTCCTTATTACTATAATAATACTTAATTTAATACTTTTGTATTATTCTGCAGTTGAATTTATACTAGATGGTTGGTTTGTTGTTTAACGTCGCAATCAACAATGTCTCAGCTATATAGCGGCGGCCTGTAAATAATCGAGTCTGGGCCAGACAATCCAGTGATCAACAGCATGAACATCGATATACGCAATTGGGATACGACACGTGTCAACCAAGTCAGCGAGCCTGACCTCAGATCCCGTTAGTCACCTCTTAAAACAAGCATGGGTTACTGAAGATCAATATTTAAACCCGGATCTTCACAGGTTTTATACAGTTATTGACACACTATCTTGTACTTACACTTTAATACCTTTCAAGTGATTTGAATTAATGTGTAAACTTAGCTGATCATATAATATATAATACAATGGTTAATCACATTCCTTGGACGTTTGTTGGTTTCACATGCAGTTCGTTTACGAACTGATTCCCGACTAACTTTCAGTTTGGGCGGTGGGGTAGACTAGTGGTTAAAGCGTCCGCTTGTCACGCCGAAGACTTGGGTTCGATTCCCCACATGTGAAGCCCATTTCTGGTGTCCCCCGCCGTGATATTGCTGGAATATTGCTATGATTAATATGCTACACATTCAGTTAAGACATTCATGTAGTTCTTTAAATGCCTATCTTTTTCGTGTCAATGTATCTGAAAGTATAGCTTGATTTTGTGATGCTCGGGTGGAAGATGCCAATCATTTCTTTTAAAATGCCCAAATTATGTCAGCTGCCGGTTTGATTTGATACATAGCTTTGAAACCTAGCTTAGATATGACACTATTTTATAACTATAATGAAAATATACTCTCCCTAAAAAAGAAACGCATAGGCGTTTTGTATTTTAAACAATCTATTAATTACCTATTGTGTTCAAACAATCGTCAAAATATGTAACAAAAGTGTTGATAACATGATTTTACACAATCGCACAAGTGAAAAATCGACTTTACCTGAAAATGTTGATTTTGATGAGATTTCTTACAAGGATTAAAAACGCATCGCCACAACGCAACAAAAATCACCTTCCAGTTGAAATTGTGCAGCAAAGAGCATGCACTGTCTGGCTATAAAATCCAGATTACTTGCGGAAATCGGCATTCGTTTTGAAGGAGTTTCAAGGTGAATTCACTACGCCACGTCTTGATACTGCGACACGGAACATCGCCATTGAAAGAATGCACGCTGGAGATTACCAATCTTCTGTTGCCAGGCGTCTGAATGCTAGTCTGAGCACGATATGACGGCTTGCAGCTCGTTACAACCAATCAGGTATAACAAATGACCGTCCCCGTTTAGGCAGACCTATTTTTTCAATTCAATTCAATTCAAAGTTTATTCTCATAGGAGTCATATACATGACATAGAGAAAAACAAATACATGTGCAAAACAATGAAACAAATACATACTACATTAACGGAGCGTACGCAAGCCCCATTTCACAAAAAGAGCAAGTTTAACAAGTATTGGTTTTGTATGTGATAGACATAAGTGAAATATATTTGTCCACAGTGGGATGTTTACAATAATATAGAGGGAGATATTTGTTTCGTATTTCGTTTAACTCATTGCATTCTAATATAAAGTGAAATTCATCCCCAATTTTACTCTTGCATGATGTACACAATCTATTTTCTTTATCAATTTTATGCCATCTACCAGTTTCAATAGGGAGTCTGTGGTTACAAGTTCTAAGTTTTGTAGTATAAATACGTAAATCTAGAGGAAGTTGCAACAAATAAGTTTCAATATAAAGATTATCCTTAAACATATTGTAATATAGGCCTTTCGATGATTGTGATTTACTTTCTCTCAAGTTTGTAGAAACTGATCAACGAGTACAGTTTTAACATTATTTACCAGCCAATGGGTACTCTGAAATTCATGTAATTGCCAAATGTAGCTAAAGCCTGTATTCTCTAAGACAGATTTTACTTCCGCTATTAGCGGATATTTAGCATTGCCTGAGAATTGTGCAAATTGAACATTAATTTATACATTACTTTTGATAGTTTACCATGAGATAATAATAATTTACACCAATATGATAACATTCTCAATTTGATAGAAATACTAAGTGGATATCTTCCAAGTTCACCATAAACCATAAAGTCTGGGGTTGTTTTTACCTTCAATATGTATTTACAAAATTTCAAATGAATACGTCCTAATTGAATAGTGTTTTCGTAGCCCCACACCTCAGCACCATACAATAAAATAGGCTTAACAAGTTGATCAAAAAGTTTAAGTTGGCAGTCGACCGGTATATCTAACAAGCGAATTTTTCTAAATATAGCAAACATTGCACGAGAAGATTGGTCAGAGAGCCGTTTAATGGCTTTTACAAAAGCGACCAGTGCTTGTGAATAGTACACCAAGATAAACATAATGTTTTTCTACCTCTAAAACAGTATTCTGCAGAAGAAATAATGTACTAAGTTTACTGCTTCTTTTGGAAAAATCGAAACTTTAGTTTTAGAAATGTTTACTGTTAGTTTCCGTCGTGTACAGTAAGCATCAAAAGTTTCCAAACAAAGTTTCAAATCAGAAGGAGATTCAGATAAAAGTACTGTATAATCAGCATAAAGAATTACCAGTAGCTTAATGAATATACCAATTTCTTTTTAGTGCATAAGCATTTACAAATTCAAACCAATTACGTTATTTGAAAGAAAATATTCCAAATCATTTTAAATAAAGAGCAAACAGAAATGGAGATAAATTTTCGCCTTGTCTAACACCCGTATTACAAGGAAAGAATTGGGTTGTACTGCCATTATGAGAAACACATGATTTTATATGCTGATACATATTTTTATAACATTAAAACATTTCCAGTAATACCATTATCAACCATTTTCCGCCAAAGGCCACAGCGCCACACAGTATCAAAGGCTTTACTAAAATCAACAAATACGCAGTATAATTTCTTATTTTGATTAAGGTATATATCAATCAATGCCTTTAAGATATAAATGTTATCAATGGTGGAGTAGTTTTTTTCCTGAAGCCCGCTTGCGCAGAGCTTATGACACCAACGCTGTCAGAGTAGGCTTGGAGCCGTTTACTTAATATGGATGTGAATAGTTTACCCAAGCAGCTTAAAAGTGACACCCCGATAATTATCCGGGTCCCCAACACACCCTTTGTTTTGTAAATAGGCTTAATTATACCTAGAAGCCAGGACTCAGGCATTACACCACCATCAAGAACTAAATTAAATAGCTTTACATATACAGGTAACATAACGTCAATAGATGACTTAATATACTCATTCACTATATTATCCAACCCACAAGCTTTGTTGCTTTTCAGACAATGGACAGCAGAAAGAATTTCCTTATCTGTAATCACCGAATCTAAAATCTCGTTATGTAACACACCTTCATGAAAACAAATATCACAATCAACCTTGCAGGCTTGTCCTGCGATCAAATCTGTGAAATTATTAAATAGCCTCTTGCTTGTCAATACCTAATGCTTTTCAGTGCGATTATCAAATGACTTTAAAATGACCTCGAGTCACCACTGCAGCCCAAGATCGGTACATCCGGTACTACATGATGGTACTGCCACGGGTGAGAGCCCAGCAGCTAGTGTGCCTGGACGTCGGATGATATCCGGTCAAACTGTACGGAACAGGTTGAGAGAGATTGATCTGAGAGCCAGGAGACCCGACGTCGGGACAAGTCAATACATTGATTATACAAGAGTCTCGTTTCCTGCTGACTGGGTTTCGTCTTATTACGCAACTTCGTACAATAACCAGTCCTGAATTTTGAGAGACCAATTCATTCAACTGGATACATAAATATTAATCAGTATTATTTGATACATCTGAGCACTAGTGTATGTTGCAACACTACGCTCCTTCTAATCCTTTGCAAACGATTCGTGCAGCGTGCTCTTGTCGTACAGCGGGCTCTGACAAACGGAAACCTGGAAATCGTGGAAATCTCAAAACGAGGCTCTGCCGCTAGAAAAGTTTGGCGGTCTGGTACGGACTTGATATTATATCAATCACATTGTGCATTACAAAACTGCATTGAATAAGCGCAAAAACACGTAACACGTGTAACCAATGAGCCAGATGAATTCGTGAATCATTGTTCGACCTCATCAAACAGGGCAGTCTGTGACGTCTTAGTTAACGCCATGCTGCCTACACCTCGCCATAAAATATAGAAATACGATGTTATTAAAGTTTAAAATTAAAATTACTTGTAAATACCACTTCCTTATGAAACAAGGAATTGACTTCAGTGTAACCATAGTTGTATGTGTGCGTCTTTTACTTTCACACGAGAAAATCTCTGATCGGCTGAAAATAGGTCATTGTCTGAATAGGTTAATGAGACTAATGTTCTGCGGTTTGCCGTGCTACGTCGTCACAATCGCGCTCATCGTCTCCGTTATCTAAAATTATCCACTTGGTTGTATAGACATTTCCTTCTTCTAAACTGATGTAAAAAATTCATGCTCTAAAGTCTATTTGTGGACGAGTTATTCATGTTTGAAAATACAACATTTTCGCAACAGATTTCTGGTCTATGCGTTTCTTTTGGGGATAGTATACTTTTAGTCAAGTCCATAAATTCATTGTGCGTAGTAAGCCATTCAATTAATGTATAATATGTCTTGCCTCTGTTAATTGTCCATTACATGTATGTTTTCGATGTAATTCTGTCAAGAGCGGGCTTTAATAAGTTGAATAACGTGTGCGCAATCTCTTCTCAATACTGAATAAAATATGTTCAAACAAACATTGAAATCGCAACAAAAGCCTATATACAAAGGAACTGAATAGCTGGGGCCTTGTTAGCTACGAATAGACTTGTTGGTTTACTGCTGGGTCGAGTCAAGATAGTACAATCACTTGTCGTCATGGAGATACCATCAACAGTCTCGTAAGTCTTACCTACTGACAGCGTAGCCCATTTTACCTGTGACTTCCCCACATGGGTACAATGTGTGAAGCTCATTTCTGGTGTCCCCTGCCGTGATGTTGCTGGAATATTGCTAAAAGCGGTGGAAAACCTTACTAACTCACTCATTCGTTAGGTAACTGGGATTCGCCAGATACCGTCGGTTCATTCGGTTCATTCCCTTGTTCGCCCCGTCAACATCACACCGAGCTCGTCTGTGTTGCTTAAGTGGTAGCGTTGAGGCCCCGATTTCTCGAAACAAAGTTAAGTCTGAGTTTTGACTTAGGTTAGAGCTTTTACTCAAATTTGAGAAAACGCATTTCCCAGAATGAACTGAAATCGATATTAAACTCAAACATTGTAGACAATTTGAGTTTGGTGAATAGAATACTTAAGTTGATTGGGATTTTGTATTTTAAAAACGCAGCTGAGTTAAAATTAGAATTTGAGTAAAAAAGTTTGTTTCGAGATATCGGGGTCACTGTAGACTTTCCTCCCAGCGAAACAAATGGAATACTATCAAAATCGACGTTAAATCCAACTCACTCACTCACCCACGACAGGATAGGAAAGGAAGCACGACATACAAAACCGTACACCTGGAAAACTGATCAACACAGTTTTCAAATATTAGGAAAAAACCAAGGGCGTTGTCATAATGTCTTTTCTTATTGTTATGGTAATGCTGAGCCAGCCTCTGCGTGGTGAACAGAGATGCTTCAGGAATGTGGTTTGACGGGTTGGAGCTGAGAAGGGTTGCTGTTTACTCGGCAGGTTCATAACAGATAACATAAAGAAAGGATCGATAAACTTATATCGACATACACACATTGTTTCTGTGAAGCGAAGAAGATCCAGGCCCTTCTGCAAGCCATGCTTGTTAGAGACGGTCATTGGGATCTCGTGATCAGGGTCTCGAGCCACAAAGCGTTCGTAGCGCTACGACATGCGTAAGCCTACGGTAAACTCGAGTTACGACAGGTCGTAACGTTACGAACACTTTGTGGATCGGGACCCGGGCTCGTTGACTTGATTTGATGAGAGAGGCATACTAACATGATCGTAGATCGATCTACGTATTTGGGAAACGACGACACGTTACTCAGGGCGATACCCACTATGCCCATCACTGGATTGTCTGGTCCAGACTATTTTTTCCAAGAGCTTTCGTCACAAAAAAAACACCCATTGATATTTTCTTGTTTGCACTCTCAGCATGACCCAAACTGACCCAAAATGACCTAGGACACCCCCAACCGCCGCACTCAGCAATATTCCAGCTATATGACGACGGTCCGGACCAGACAATCCAGTGATCAACGGCATGAGCATCGATCTACACAATTGGAATACGATGACATGTGTCAACCAAGTCAGCGAACCTGAGCACCCGATCCCGTCAGTCACCTCTTACGACAAGCATGGTTTGGTGAAGACCAATTCTAACCCGGATCTTCACGTGTATAAAATGAAGGCAAATCAGTGATAAAACTAGCATACCTTTACGATTGATTTGAAAAATGACGTATCGATTCGTTCATACATGTCAAGAATGATGCCACAATAACGGAGTGTAGGCGGCACAGTTGCAGAAGATGTCGCAAGTCGATGCCATTCATCCATCAATAGTTAGCTGTTCGGTATCGATCGATGTTTTGTTACAGAGACGGCCAAAGGGAAGTTAAAGTTGATAAGTGCGTATCTAGGGTAAACAGGAAGTTGGAGACATGTCGACAAGGTGCGTAATTGAAGCAACGGCGAGGTAGAACAGAAAATACCTGCTCTGACCTTGTTCAATCAACCATAACACAACAAACCTTGAGGTTAACAGTGGAGTAACGATCGCCTTGTCCACATGTCCACATGTCCACATCGTCCTTGCAACAGGATATTTTGCAACGATTACCATGATTCATGGAAGGTTTGAAAGTCTGGATATATTTACAAGTACATACTGACATTGTGAGAGTATTTATATCTTGTCGACGACGGTTGCTGACGTAGCAGGTACGTTGTGTGTATTACAAAGTGTTATCTGTGTGTAGTGTGTCGCGTTTGTGCTGTAGATTTGCATGCGTGCATGTATGTATATATAAGTGTTGTTGTGTGCATGTAGGGTGGGGTCGGGTGGGGAGCTGTGGTGGTAGGTTACGCTCGGTTGGAAGTCGTTGGGCTGGGCAGGGTGTGTGAGAGATAGAGAGAGTGCAGGTTAGGTGAGAGCCGCTGAACGCTTAAGAACAATACCATCAGTGTGTGTATAGATTAAAGTACAGGTATAAACATACCCGTATGTATGCCTTCGTGTTCATATATGCCTGTATGAATGCCTTCGTGTATGTGTACACCTGTGTGTAGCAGCAAATCCTTCTATTTACCAGCCTAGTGAGACAGGCATACCTGTAGATTGAATAATATCCCAAGGGTCTGTACATATCGAACCACGACCTAGTTATTGGCGCACGCACTGACCCGACGTGCACAAGCGTGTACACAAACTCCTCGGCAGCACAGTGACTAGAATCTCATTCATAGTATTTGTTAACATTAACAACAAGCGAAACGCCCATGACAGGTGTTTGTTCTCAAGAGCTTTTGACAATGTATATATGCTTTTCTCGGTTGTTTTGCATTAGCCAAATACTAAGCAAACACAAGGAACCATATCCTTTACCTTCCGCCCAGCCCTCGTGGTTGTGCGAAGCTGAACTACTAAGTGGAGCAAGTCTAGACTGTCCAGACGGAGGCTCCTATTCAGCTTAAATCTGACTGCTTGAAAATGATATAATTTCTTTCGAGACAAAGCGTCCGTCTATGTTCCTCTTAGTGAGTGAGTTTGGTTTTACGCCGCTTTAGCAATAGTCCAACAATATCTCGGCGGGGAACACCATAAATAGGCTTCACACATTGTACCCATGCGGGCAATCGAACCCGGGTCCTCGGTGTGACGAATGAATGCTTTAACCACTAGGCTACCCCACCGCCGCCACTGAGAGCAGAGTGCCGTGCAGATGACAGTGTGGATAAGGGACTTGAAGTGAAATGGATTTTTAATGTCGCGTCCAAAATTACTGTCAGATTATGATATTATTCATATTATATATTTCTTAAACCGTAGTGACAGACTGACTGACTGACTGAGTTTGGTTTTACGCCACTTTTAGCACATGAGGTTACATGATATGCGTTCTTAATATCACAAGATTATTGCTACCCACCGCCCCTATTGTGAAAGAACAATATGACAATAGAATGTCTTTTAGAAAGTGGTCAACGGTAACATATGTGTTAGTTAGGATTGCGCTTTCTCTTTAAAAACAGATTATAGTACTTTTTGTAGGTGAGGGTCCCCACCGGGATTCACTCGTGAAGATCTGGGTTAGAATTGATCTTCACTAACCCATGCTTGTCGTAAGAGACGACTAACGGGATCGGGTGGCAAGGCTCCCAGTTACGTAGATTGATGCTCATGCTGTTGATCACTGGATTGTCTGATCCAGACTCGAATATTTACAGACTGTCGCCATATAGCTGGAATAATGTTGAGTGCGCAACCAACCAACCAACCAACTCCACCGGGATTCGAACCCACGCTCTCAAAGTGAGACACTAGACAGAATCAGCCACCTAATCAACATAGGTTGCGGGTTCCACAGAAATGGAGTCTGATAACAGGTGGTGTAGATCAAGTACCTTATGTATCTCTCTGACAAGTTTAAATTGGCACGGCTCCCATGGAGGAAAGCTATGAATATATTATGCTTATAGGAAGGGGTCAAGCGTTGTATACAACTTTGTATGTTGTATTTGGATTCATCACGAGGCTATTTTAACAAAAGCGAAATATTGCATTATGAAATAGAAGATTGTGAAATAGTCTCGCTGTTATTTTCCAACAGCGAGACAATACACATGTACTTATTTCCCCAAGGAAAACAGAACACTAAAATTAGAGACTGAAGAAACTCCATGTTTATTTTCCAGATGTGAGATATTAGATACAAGCGAGTTTCACATGGTATTGCTTTTCAGAAAGAAGCATCAGGGTTCGGTATTATTACATTTTATTTTCAGGCAGTCAGACTCAGGGGAAATAGAATAAAACACTCACTTAGAAATTATGTTTGAAAAGTAGTGTATGTCTTGTTCTATATATTATGTATAAACACCATCATCATCAGCAACAACAACGGCAACAACAGTGATAATGATAATAATAATTATAATGTTATTAACAGACCGCCTCCGTGGTGTAGTGGTTAGAGCGTCCACCAGGAGAGCGGAAGGTCGCGGGTTCGATCCCCGACCACGTCATACCAAAAGACGTTACATAAGGTACTTGTTGGTCCCTGCCTGACGCTCGGCATTAATGGGTACAACAAGGACTGGTCGGCTCGGAGTCAGTATAATGTGTCTGAGTGGGGTATTCATGCTTCACTGCGGCATGGTATCTCAGTGAGCTAGCACTATAAAACCAGCTTCAGTCTGGGCTAGTACAAGCAGCCACACATACACATACACACGCATGCACTTCGTCATATGAGCGAAATATTCTCAAGCACGACGTAAAACCCAGTTTCACCTCACCTCATGTCATTAACAATATCCCAGTGATCTGTAATTTCTCAACCACGAATGACAAGTTGTCATAGTACCAATTAAATATGCAATGTGTACACTATCACTTTTATATACTTATTAATCTACATGATAACTATATGAGCTCCGTGTGTGTTTTTAATGAGTGATGTTGTATGAGTCACGTTTCATGTATTTGTTGTCAAAGTACATGTGACACATAAATACAATTTGTATTTCTTCTTTTATAAGGGTTATGCGTGCATTTTGGGTGTCAAACGCACATTTGGCGAAATACCAATATAATTGTCAGGAATTGTCTAATTTTGAAAAAGGTTCAATAACACGTATTTCTTCTTTAATGACCAGAATCAATTATTGAAAAGAAACCCCGGACATTCTTGTGCGTATGAAGTCATAAATCATGTATATATAATTCCAAATAGATTTGACAACTCTCTCGTAATACCACTAACACAGATAGACAGACCGCGGAATCTTAAAAATGTCATAATATCCGTCGATCTCTCTCGTTACTGTATGCAACCTCATAGTTTACTTGTACAGACATTTCAAAGATGACACTCCATTAAGTTCAATTTACACACTGGGTCTTAAAAACTGCTTTGATGGCAAGGCAACAGAAGAGGAAAAACATGATTTCTACCCCCACTCACATAGACGAGTTGCAACTGATACCATGGTATTATTGAGTTACTTAGGCATGCATTGACTTGACAACCCTGATGCTATATACATGCCACTTCATCTATTTCAGCTTCAAGTACAGAGGTTGACCACAGATCGATACTGTTAAACAAGAATCATGGGTTGTAAGTACAACGTTCTTATCTAAATCAAGGGGGCGGTGGCCTAGTGGTCAAAGAGTTCGCTCGTCACGCCGAAAACCCGGGTTAGATTCCCCATATGGGTACAATATGTGAAGCCCATTTCTGGTGTTCCCCACCTTGATATTGCTGGGATATTGCTAAAAGCGGCGTAAAACTCAACTCACTCACTCACCCACTAAATTACCTGCAAGAATATTTAAAACGTGTTTATACAGGTATTGTTAGCATAAAGTATGTGGCATGTAATATCATCAGCAATAGTATGTCAATTTCGGGTAAATATGTACCCATGAGACACGACCTGCAGCACTTTGACGTCGGGTCCTCTCTTACCCCCACGCCCTCCCCTTAGTATGAGAACACACCCTATTTTGTACATATTCTTCAAAGCCTATTATTCCCTAATATGTATGTTTCAGCTATCTTCGATTCGTGTAATACGGTCTCTGAAAAATGCGGAAAAGGTACGCCTTGACTCTAATCACCGACGTTTTCACAAAGTATACTTCGGAATAATAATGAATTTGGATTTTATACGAATTTGCATATTATTTCACAATAATTATTATACATAATTTTCTCCAATCGGAATCAAGATATGTATAATCAGTAATATTCAAAATCAATATACTTATTTTATTATTCATCTCATATTATACTTTTATAATTTTTTCAAATTGTTTTCAGGAGGCTCAGTCATTTGCAACGTCATAGGTACTATACTTCCAATCGCCATGATATCAGTGGGTAAGTGTGAGGTGTTTCGTGTGCCGACCGCATCGTTGGCACCGATCCAATTACTGCGTCAGGATCGGACCTTTTCTATTCGAATTTTGTTTGTTTTTCAACCGCGTTTAGAGTATCTGTCCCTCTTTCATCGGTAGTGATCAAGGTAATGGGTACACATCGATTAACACGTGACAAATACAATAAGCATTTGCGCATTACGCACTTTACTTAGGGACTGAGGGCGCATTAGGTTATTATGCCTGATAATGTATATTATTTTATTCTTTTATATTGATCTGAACAAATATTGGACTTAAAGCTATAAACGTTATGAATCAGACATCTGGAAAGACAAGTAGAAAAGTATAGATCTCATTTTATTCAACATTCCATCATTCATAACAAATGATGCAAATGTACTATGTCCAGAACTATATTTATAATCATGAGAACCTGATTAAAACCAAAGACGTGTCTGCTTTGACAGATTCGTGCATTCAGTACAATCGGTTAATTATAAGTTTAATTGAGGTAGAAGACTAATTTGTTTTGAGAGAACACACACACACACACACACACACACACACACACACGTACACGTACGCACACACAAATTAGAGAGGTTGAGCAGCGCTGCGTGTACATGTACGCCTACGTGTGATCGGGGGTATTCCCCTAAATACCTGTGTATTACGTCATCACTATTTGCTGACCTGTCATCCTACAAGTTCCCGCGGTCGCCTACTTCGAAGGATACACGTAAGTGAAAACTTGTGAGCTTGTTTTAAACAAAACAGCTGAATAGACTGTTGTATCGTTAAGATAGTGTGTTAAAATAAGTATCAAGGTATCATCCAGTAATAAATTAGTGACCAGTTTCTGTGAAATATAACGCGGGTTTTTGCAGTATTCTAGACTCGAGATTTAACCTATCGCTAAAGGCAGGTCATCATTAGAATCGTTAATATTAATTATTTATCATTATAGTATGCTCCAGACATGTGTCTTTATGAATAATTTCGTATTTCAGTATGGCACAACGCAAAAGCAAGTCAGGTTTTCTGAAAAAGACGATGTCAAATTGCCGAGGGAAGTGTTGGCTGCCAACCCGTTCAAAGACAAGGGAAAATGGCAAACAGCAGCAGACAACTTGACAAGTACACGGTCAGACTTCAAAGTCGATGCTAGGCGAGTTAGGAGAGGACGCACTTGATGTTAGACCAATTCAAAAGAAAACTGCGGAAGATTTGAAAAGGTAATAAATAATATTTAACATCAGATTCTAATCATCATATGCATTTAATCTATAGCCTTTATTATAGGCTATACAATTTGAATTATAACGTAGATCGGTTAAAATCCGCCGCTAATATAACAAAACAGCCCAAATCTATTTACATATATTAATATTATTTCTTTTTAAATCTACGCATCAACGCAATACATTTTGAAAAATGCAAAAGAAGCTGTTGTAAAACGAGTGCTGCATGTTTTCACAAGGACACTTATGATGAAAACTTTTACATTAAATTTGAAATTACTAATTAATTCATGTTAAATTAAATAGGAAATCTTAGAGTAATCCTTTTCGATATTTAAAGTTTAGTACATCATTACAATATCACACCTGTGATAAGAATTTTTGTTTTCCAGCTCTGGCAACACTGAAGAATATGATGAAAAGATTTCTGTCTTGGACGAAATAACAGAACTCAAGAAGGAAGAGGATAGGAATCGTGCGGAGGAAAAGTCTTAAAAAATTGCGATTGAGAATAAAGGGAAAGAAATCAGAAAGAGGGTTATGGAGGGTATGAGTAAAGGTTAGTGCATCTTTCCTGAATATTAAAAAAGTAAAATCTGAAACATCTGATTTAAGGTACAATTATGCAAAGTAACAATGGTTTATCGATGTTTTGTTCTTTCTTGGACATGTATGGTCTTAAATATGTATTTGTGTTCTCTAAATCCAGATCACTCGGATGAGACAGCCCCTACTAGAGGAGAAGAAGTAGTAAAGCATACTAGACTACCTAAATACTAAGTCAGAGGAGGCAGAGCTGAGAAGACAAGAACTGGATGTGAGGAATGAGGAACTGAAACTTGAGAGAGAAAGATTTGAGCAGGCGTAAAACCATACTCACTCACTCTACATGAAAGCACAGGTCTCAAAGAGTTATAATCTAGTTTAGGTGTGTATGTATTCTTGAATTGATGGTGGATCTTGCTGAAGGAAAGAGCTAGTTTTACTTCCATACAGGCAAGTGTGGCAGTTTGTAAGGATAGCAGCAACTTTGTTGTATTTACCAACTGGCTGCAAATACAGGTTTGGGTTCTTCTTGAAATCTAGAAATGCAAATAGTGTGAGCAATTTGCCAAAAGTCCACTCTCAACACAGACTGACAGCTGACCTCTTGTTGAATGGGAAGCTTGATAAGCTGTTATCGCGTCCCCTCTGTATGGCGCTATTATGTAAGGTGAAATTGGATACGCTGGGTCACTATATACACAAAACACATCATTGTTTCGAGTTGCCATATTCTCTGACATTTCCTTTTCAACCTCGCTTTCTCTCAACCTACCAGCATCATGGCGTCGGCCTTCAATGGGGCCATAAAAATTGGCTATCATTCCATTGGGTGTTACTATACTCTGGTACTTGAAACCATGTACACGTTTATGTCCATTGAAAACTAGTTTTTTTGGTTTTGTTGAGGCCTGTATATCGGTCGCACAGTACCATCAATATACCCCCAGCAGTTAGTGAGAGGTGAAACTTGGTACTCAATGGATCGAGACATATCTTCTACATGACCATATGATATCCAAGGTTTGTCCAGATTGTCTAGTAAATCACTGTGCATGTCATAAATGTAACTTAAAACAGTATTAAAATGTGCGACAATTCTGAAGTCGATCTGCCAAAAAAAGTGCTTCAAGTCTTCAAGCCGATTTGGGTAAGAGAGTCTTCTAGGGAGAATGCACAGACCACCAATGCCTGAACAAGTTGTACGATTCGAGCAGTAGAATAGGTCAGGTAGCAGTAGGGTTTCTTTAAGTGTGAATAAATCTTCTCTAGTAAATCTGAAGCACTTACGGCACTGATCGTCATTGAGTTCATGTCATTTGATATATCTGTCGGACAAAGTATCATCTTCTTTCAAAGCAGAAAGAAACAAAAGACCATCGTTATCTTCCACGGCAGCCAAAAGATTTATATTTGCCACCAGTACTAACATATGTAGCAGTGCTTTTATTTTTAGTGCTAAATCAAATCACAATTCATTTCATCATGTTTCATAAATATCATTAAATGTTAAATGTTCATTTGTTCCATGTTGTCCGAGTCTCTGCCGTTGAATGCCGCCTCTGTACATCTTCACCTTTTCCTTCTGTTTCATGTAGCCTTGTCAACAAGGATTTCCATTCACTTCTTCTCTATTCTTAGCCAGGTAACCCATTCTTTCGGATTTTCCCTTTTCTATTAATAGGTCACATCAAAGATTTCCTTTGATGTGCTACCTACTCTCTAATTGGCTATTGTGTCCGCTGACCTTACTTCCTTTGGCCACCTGTTTTCCACCTCACTCTACTTGCTGTTGCTTGTAGCCGTGTTCGGCTCTGGTCTGCTGCTCAAGACGACACAAGGCAATGGTGATGAAATGAATTTTATTCAATGAAGAATGAAGCTGTTGCTGAGGTCAAACCTGAGAAGGAAAGAATGTTTCCAGCTCAGCAACAGCAAGTGGAGTCATAAAAATTAAAATCAAGTAAATAATTTTAACAAATTTTAACAATAGTTTTAAATATCACAGTAAATATATTATCAATTTAACTACCAGGATAAGGTTATTGCACTTTTGAACAAAAATGAAAGCACGTGGTTTCAGCCATGTTTATAATTTACATTAATTGTAAACTAATATATTTAACTAAATTTATATAATTATCAATTAAATATTACTTTTAATGTTATACTATTATTATTGCAATAACATTTTGCACCTTTTTATAGGGATTTATAAAGTAAAGAGGCAGATGGAAACAGATTAGAAAAATGGCCAAACCTGAGAAGGGAATGAATGTTTCCAGCTCAGCAACAGCAAGTAGGTGAGGATGAAAACAGGTGGCCAAAGGAAGTAAGGTCAGAGGACACAATAGTCAATTCGAAAGTAGGTAGCACATCAAAGGAAATCTTTGATGTGACCTATTAATAGAAAAGGGAAAATCCCAAAGAATGGGTTACCTGACTAAGAATAGAGAAGAAGTGAATGGAAATCCTTATTGACAAGGCTACATGAAACAGAAGGAAAAGGTGAAGATGTACAGAGGCGGCATTCAACGGCAAGACTCGGACAACATGGAACAAATCAACATTTAACATTTAATGATATTTATGAAACATGATGAAATGAATTGTGATTTGATTTAGCACTAAAAATAAAAGCACTGCTACACATAGTTCACACGATTGTAACCGTGTTACAGACTTGTTTAAGTCGGAACATTTGACCAATCCAAAGTCGTTTTACATATACCAGCACATGTACCGGTACACGTAAGATTTACTCACGGCCACTGAAGTTTCGTAGCGTGTACACGGATGTGTACGTTTAAGCTTACGCGTAGGCGTACATGTACACGTAGCGCTGCTCCACCTCTCTCTCAACACACAAACAAAACACATTATAAGCAAACAGTCACACACAAAACAAAACAAGCCACACACAAAACAAAAACACGCAAACATACACAAACAAACAGACAACAAACGCACACGCACACACACAAAACACAAACAAATTAATCACACACAACAAACGCACACACAAAACAAACAAACGCACACACAAACAAACAATCGACACACAACAAACAAACAAAACAAACAATCGACACACACAAACAAAACACAAACAATCCACACGCACAAACAAAACGAACAATTACCACACACAACAAACACACAAATTACGCATACGCAGACACACAAGAAGGTTTTATGCTCACTGGAGAGCGGAAGGTCGCGGGTTCGATCCCCGGCCGCGTCATACCAAAAGACGTTAAAATATGGCACTTGTTGGTCCCTGTCTGGCGCTCGGCATTAATGGGTACAACAAGGACTGGTCGTCTCGGAGTCAGTATAATGTGTCTGAGTGGGGTATTCATGCTTCACTGCGGCATGGTATCTCAGTGGGCTAGCACTATAAAACCAGCTTCAGTCTGGGCTATTACAAGCAGCCGCACATACACATACACACGCATGCACGTCGTCATATGAGCGAAATATTCTCAAGCACGACGTTAAACCCAATTTCACGTCACTTTTTATGCTTACTTCAGGCTTTCTTTCCCGGGACCTATGCGCCCATGGCCTGTATAGAACCGCAATTACCCGTCGTGATATTGCTGCAACAAATAATGTTAATTAATTCCAGGAGCCATCCACATAGACGATTGCCCTGCTCAAAAGTACATCTGTATCTACCTGATCGTAGCTGGAGCCTTCGCTATCCTCGTAACTGGAGTGCGCTATCTGGAGAGTATGTGCTGCAGCAGCAACTCAGGAACCCCTCCCTTGCCTATTCTAGTTGTCAATGGCGTCCTTGGTCTCTTCCTGCTTTCCTGGTTTATTGCAGGTAAAAATGAAGATGTTACAAACAGTAAACATCCTACAAAATTAATTAAATGTATTTCATGTGTTACTAAATACAGGGATAGACCCGCAGCCATGTTTAAGATCATTTGTCGATTTATCGATAGAGATGAATCAAGCTTTTGACTGTCATTAAGAAGTTGACAGAGGATAAAGACATGAAGTTACTATGACAACACTTTGTAATAGATTGTTTGTCTGACCTGCAAATATACTACTCATACTTTGATACAGATCACAAAAATTCACAACTTTACTTAAACGTAGATTTACAATATGAAATTGTATACATTCAAAACTGGATAAATAATAATATGGTAACCCCTCTTTAGGCAGACAGCCCTTTTATTCTAACATTATGCACTTCTTACATGAGTAACCATAAAAATGGTTTTCATGGCACCAATCAACCATTTTGCAAATCATGGAACTAGTCATTGGCAAATAAACAACACCTGTCAATAGCAGGTATGGGATCCACAAGATGCAATGACATACTGAAACCTAGGACCATGCTTACGATAAGCTTAGATGATTAAACCAAAATTGACCCCACATGATAGTTTTCTATTGAATCCATGATTTGATCCTTAGCAAAGTGTGAATAATATAGTTGCATCTCTTGGACTAATAGATTGGAATACAATAAACATGTGAAGACACGTTGAGCTGAGTGGGCTACCAAAAGGATAAATGTGTGTTGGGAGGCAAGTGTCAATACACTGGTAATTGTTCATCATACAGTTTACCGTATAGATCTCATTACTGTTAATAACTGAGGCGGTGGGTTAGCCTAGTGGTTCAAGCGTTCGCTCGTCACGCCGAATACCCGGGTTCGAATCCCCACATGGGTACAATATGTGAAACCCATTTCTGGTGTTCCCCGCCATGATATTGCTGGAATATTGCTAAAAGCGTCATAAAACTAGATCAATCAATAATAACTGGCGTGTTTCTTACAATCCCGTTTCTGCAGCCCCAATCCCCTCATCCAGCGGTTGATGCAGTGATTCAATTTCAGGCAATGTGTGGGTCTACGGCCTCTACGGCAAGTACAACCCAACAGACAAAACTGCCGACAACTACTGTAAAGAACTCGTTTACGTGTTTGCATTCTGGATCATCACGACAGGCTACATCCTGCTCGGAGTTTATGTCCTCCTGGTATGCTTTGTTGCCTGCTGCTGCAGGCGACGTTAGTCGACCACACCATTGTGAGGTATTTGACTTGTACCATGAAAAGGCATGACGGTTAAAATATTTGAAACACTTTGTTAAATATACTGCATGAAGACATGCCCCATGGCTACAACGCCGTCGGAACTCGAACCAGTTCAATTTCATACATGAGAAATTGTAGTATGTGGGATATGGTTTATGTGTTTGTGAAAGCAGGTTTCATACTTGCAAGGGTATGCTGCTATTTCCAGATTAGAGGCACGCAACCCTCTTCTAAGGGTGAATTTAGTCCATGTGTTACGTTAGGACTTCTGGCTGGATGGCTATTTTTATTGTGTTCCTGGAAAAGCAATAAATTATTTATTTATTATTTATTACCACATCTCATTGTAAAGAACTGTTGGATTACTTTACTGTCCCTACCTACAGATATCCTGGTACTCTAAACCAAAAACAGAATATTGTTTATACATAATATGAAAACTAAAAGCCACGATAACATATAAAGGATGGATACATCGCTTTATAAATGCTCATCATTATTATATTATACTCACTCACTAATATCCATAATTGATTCGATTATCCACATGGGTACAATGTGTGAAGCCCATTTCTGGTGTCACCCGCCGCGATATTGCTGGAATATTGCTAAAAGCGGCGTAAGACCAAACTCACTCACTCACTCAGTGATACATAGACTGACGCTTTGTCTCGAAAGAAATATCATTTTCAAGCAGCCACATTTAAGCTGACCAGGAGCCTCAGCCTGGACATCTAGACTTGCTCCATTTAGGACACACAACAATGAGGGCCGGGCGGAAGGTAAACTCACCATAATTGACTTTAAGCTTCAAGGATATTACATACACTACCAAGTAACTCAAGAAGTGGTCAAATGAGGTTTAGAATAGTTTTGCATTTTCTTGTGTGTCTGGCTATGTTTAAGCATGAATGTGTCATGTTTACATCGCAAAAGTGTTTTCTTGTGCTTATTGTTGCATATTTGTACATCATCATTTGTCATTTATAAAGCCCTTTTTCCACTTCGGACATTAAATAGTATTTGATAGTATTGCATATGTCGTGTTTAATTTCGTCTTTGATATTTTGGTTTTGTATACGTGTTTATTTTTTGAATGAAATGTATATTTTAGTGCACTTCTTTTGTGTTCTCTGTAATAATGTTTTCTCAAAATAATTACAATTTGACACAAAGTTACGAAGCTATGGAGTTGAATTGATGCACAGGATAGAGTCAGAGGAAATAATTTTGTTGGATGAGAAAGGGGCGCATCCAAGAGCGCAACGAATAATTACAATTCATCTTACAACACTTCAATTCATTCAATTGATTGTGACGACATAGCCGTAACACGTGACAGGAAGAACATATGTACATCTTTATGATAAGAAAAACACATGCTTTATGAAAATTGCGATAGAAGTTATGGCTTGAATGTTTTTTTGTATTGAGAACAGATAGACTTTTGTAATTGATACTATGTAAATATTTTGTTCGGAGATCAGCATACCTTTCACATACAAATCACACATGGTACTCATCTTCGAGTACTCCTAGATTAGAACTTGTGCATACAGCAGTGTTTTCATTAGTACATTTGTTTTGTCTCAGTAGATTTACTTTAAACGAATGCAATGCAATACATAGTTTACAGAATGCACGAATCAAGGTCTTATCACTTACTGCTGTAAGGTATAGTTCAGGCTGTAATAATGATTTGAAAGTCGAGTAATTCTTTAAAAATGTGGATGTGCAAAGTGAGTCATGCCAGACCTGGGAATATATATCACGGACTCTTTGTGTAAAAGTACTGATCAACATTTGGATGTTTCCTGCATCTTACAACAATGTACAAGTGACAGACACAGGTTAAGATATGTACAACAAAAGTTAACTGAGAAACGTTTTGTTTGAGAGATATAGATATGTACATATTTGAAACCATTCTGATTTTCAGTGATTGAGAGACCTGCATTGCAATGTAACATAAGATTAATATCAATCGGGGTTCTATTTTTAACAATATTTTCTAAAGATTTTAACAGTTTATGTCTTTGAATAGTATACAATGGACATTCAAGGAAGTATTGAAAAACATTCTCACATCCATGGCCACATTGACATGATGCGTCATTTTTACATATATTCTAAATAAATCATAATTAAGTGTACTTATATAAGTGTCATATATGTTAATATAGTGTGCGGAACATTTAACTTCCTTATTCGACATGAATACTATTTAGGTGCTCGTTTTTCTTTCACGTGATATACGATTTAAATGATGCAACAGAGTCGCAATTTCTAATAGCTAACGGAATATCATTCCACATTTTAACTGCTGATTAAATAAAAGATGAAGTTGAGTACCTCAGTCTTGTACATTGTTGGCTAAAATTATCGGAGTTTCTTAACACATAACTTGTCCGGTTGCAAACTACAGTTAATCCTGAAGAAAAACTGGCGCAAGACCTTATTGAATTTTATAAAATAATGTTAATTTGCATTTTAGGCTAGGGTGAGGCTGTAATGGCTTTTGTGCAAGGAAGTTAAGAGTACATCACATTGATATTTGCAAACAAACTGAGAACCTTTTATCACGATGGATATATGTAATTGAATTGGTTCCTAATGGGTAAAGATCTAGAACTCAAAGTTCTTGCCACCAAGGGTACTCTCTTAAGAGGACGCTCACAAGGTTCGAGTTTTCTATTGTTTTAAGGATAGTTGCATTAACAAACTCAACAAAAGTACGACCATCCTCTTTTAGCAGACTTTACCTTGTCAGGAACCAATTCTGATCAGAACTCTTATCAATAGGTAAGGCACAATGTAACGTCCTGAGTATTTCCCCGAAATACACTGTGTCTGATTTCCAAGTTGAAACTAAAGGTTAACCGGACATCAGCCCAAATGGGAACTCTTTGTAAATCCAACCTACAGCAAAGTAAAGTGATGATAAATTAAAACAATTCACTACAAAGGTATTGCAATGGTAGTACAAAGTCCAAAGAAGTATAATACAAAAACAGTGATGATAACAATGAAGACAGACATGGTACAATTCACCTCACTACAACAATGGTCAAGTTTCAAGCCTAGGCTGGGTATCCAGGATAAGATTTATCTCCATACAATTGCTGGTCTTCTTGTAACTGGATATGTAATGGGAATAAGAGGCAAATGTAAGCTTATCTTATATACCTTAGAAGGAAAATCCAGAAATTCTCCGACTCCTTGGGCAAAAATATAGTGGAATGGTCTGTAGGGTTGTAGTACATTCTAGAACTCGGTCTCAGTTGAGCAGATGTGGAGTAGACCACGGACTCTCACTATATTTGGTACTATGTATAGCGCTTGGAACATTGTTACACAGTGAATTTCACTAGCACATATCAATGCATACATATTGTTACATTTGTATTATATTTGTAAATGGGTCTGAGCTTAGTTCAATAAAACCTATTGATCCTGATTGACACAGACACTTCTGCTAGATCGACATCATCTACATCAAGCTGTGCTTGAAAACACTGACGGATTTGGGGATCGAAAGGTTGATGCACCACGGCCTTGGTTGATTGCGAGTCTTTATAGATTGACCAGAAATTATTGAGAATTTTAGGAATATGTTTAATTGGATTTCTAGTATAAACAACCTTGACCAGCTATTAAGTGCTTGGTTTCATTCAAGAGAGACAACTCCGTTAATCCTTTTTCATTAGTTTGTGAAGAGTAATCACCCTCTGTTTACTTGCTAGCAGACGACATTTTCAGTGATCCTCAGTATGGATGATTTAGAGAAGAAGAAGTTGATTTTAGAGTATTATAACAAGGACATCAGATCAGCTAAATGATTTCAAGTAGAACAGGCATCCCTTTGTCCACAATTCACCTGTCTTTCAATCTGGAGTTATGGTCTGCTAATATTCACATTTAATACGTGAGTAATGAGTGAATTTTTTTTTACAAATTACAATCTTAAACTCTCCATAATTTCTGGTTGTACTGTACTTCCAGAATTGACCGCAAGGGTGTGTCCTTTACAAAGTGTCACGTCCACAGAACCTCTGTATCCATTAGTAAACACATTTACAGTTACTACTCTTTTGTACCCGTGTAGATCCGGGCTAGAAATGGTCTTCAGTAAACCATGCTTGTCGTAAAGGGCAACTAACGGGATCGGGTGACAACGATGTCACGGAACTTCTATATCCATTAGTACACACCTCTGGATTTAGACATCAAGCATGCGTCCTTTACAACAATGTCACATCTTCGAATCTTATATATCCATTAGAACACACCTCTGGATTTAGACATCAAGGGCGTGTTCTTTTACAACAATGTCACATCTTCGGATCTTTGATATCCATAAATATACACATCTACATTTACCTCTTGTTTGATTGTGCCTTTTAAAAGAAAGACTTCATGGATGGCCTGTCTTAAAAACGTCCCGCCTCTGAATTTCTTTTAATTGTGAATGGGATAAATCTTAAAGTAAGGAACGATCAAACGCCAAGAATTTACAACAAAGATTTAAAATTTGGTCATCTCTATTGGCACAACCCCGTTGCCAAAGCTCTCAGTTACCGAGCGTTCGTAAAATCTTCCAATGCAGGTCACCCTCGGAAAATATTTCAATCGGTCAATTGCAAATTGAAACTGATTAACGGATAAAAAAACATTCGGGGTTTTTCTGAGGTATTTGCTATTCACCGTACACCGGCTAGTAGTATTCTTTTCTCCACCTCGTGGAATTGTTATAACAGTGATCATTTTGGCCACTACCGGTGGACATAGCCATTTTTAATGTGTTTGTATCATTATATGTGCATTATAATGTCCCACAGTGGTGCCGTGTGGTCCTGTGCATAGAGCTCAGGACACAAATCAGTTGAAGTTTGACACCGTTGAGCGCGGAGAGGTCCTTGGATGGGTGACCGTGTTTGGCAGCTTGATTCCTGAGAGTTTCTAGGACTTCAGTTCTGCCCCATAACGAAGCACATGTGATACATGTGGTCTCCCCTTAGGCAAGAGAGTTTGTTCAAATTTGTCTCTGTTCATCCAGCAGAAAATGGGTACCCGGTGAAATAAGTCATGAGACTATTAACCTTCTAGCGCCTAGTAGATAGAGCTTCACTTGTCAGTGATATGCAGGCTCTGAAGGAACAGGTCAGTGTTTGTGTGCCACAATTAACAGATCTAAAACAAGAGAATATGGTTCTAAAAGAAGCTTTAATCGATCAAAGATGTCGTTCGATGAGGGACAACTTGATTTTCAATAACATTCCCGAAACTGAACCTGAGGCCACTGAGGCCACCAGGAAACTGCCAGCTATGCTCGGCAGACTATAAGTGCCTGCCTCATCATCTGTTGCATGAATGCCCTGACCAGCGTGTTTGCGACAACCGAGAGACTCTGTGGCTCTCCATTTTGGACACGTTTGGCGTAGACGTGTATGTCATGTTGGACTCCATGGAACTGGATGAACAAACAAGAACTCTGCTTGGGGGACACTCCTTCGATATTGAGGACTGTGGGACTATTCTTCCTCTCCAGTGGACTCATTTGTCGTAACATTTAACTAACTCTTCTCTACTGTTCAATTGTAAATCCCCAAGTTTGGAGGAGCTAAGGACACTCACTCACTCACTCATTTAGATCTAGATGCCGAAACAATGAGCTTCAAACGAGTACACAGGATAGGCAAGTCCCCGCCCACCCAGGTACCTAGGCGACACAGCCCGACGCCGATCCCTGATAGCAAAGTTTGTTTTTACGAGGGAAAAGAATTCTGTCAAGGCCGCCGCGAAGAAACTGAAAGGTAAATAAGCGAACAATTTCCAGAGGAGGTAAGCCAGTACAGACGAGACGTGCTCGTGCCACTCATGAAGCAAGCCCGACAAAGCGGACAACAAGCCTACATGGTGATTGACAAACTGTACATAAATCGTGAGCAACAATCTGTACCCACCCCACCCCCTTACAGGCCACCCACACATTGGAGGACGGCGGTGGACAAGAGACTCATTCGTGTCAATGCTATTGTGATAGCATATATCAGAACTCTAATGTCTGTCACATAAGCTTAGATAACGCTTGTGATGGTGTAGATACAAATGACTTACCAGACTGTAACGTCCAGTTTGGAGTTAATGGTTCTGACATGGTTGATGTTAATGTCAATGCAGATATTGCTGCGAATGATATAGTTGATGTCACTGATGATAATGATATCAATAATGATGACGATAATAATGATGCTGTTGTTAACGACGACGACGACGACGACGACGATGATGATGATGATCACCCAAAGTCACCTGTATTTAAAATACATTTCCTTAATCTAAATGTTTGTGGTTTGAGGAAAAGACTTGAATATGACGAATTCAGAGGTATGATTGAAAATAATGATATTATCTGTTTACAAGAAACAAAAACAGACTGTTTAGATGAAATAGAAATAGATGGCTATAAACTTATACTTAAAACATAGACAAGGAATGTTGCGGAAAACAGGTTGAATCGGAATTGCAATAAGAGAAAAACTAGTAGAACATGTATCAGTCCTAGATGAACAAGCAAATTATATAGTATGGATGAAGCTTTCAAAGCATCTTTTGGGTATCGATCAAGATATGTATATTGGTGTTGTTTACCTTCCACCGGAAGGCTCAAAGTATATTAATTCTGACTCATTCGATGAAATTGAACAATCCACACTTAGATTCCTATCCTTAAGTGATTACGTTTGCTTCACTGGCGATTTTAACGCACGAACTGTGCGACTATCTTCCTATGGATGATTTTCTAATTAAGGAGTTTGATATTGATAATGAAGAATTAAGTAACGAGTTACAACCCCAATATATTCTAGAATCACTTAACTTACCACAAGAAAGGTACTCGCAAGATAAAACTAATGTTAATAACTTTGGCTTTAGATTCATAGAGATGTGTAAAAACCTCAACATGTTTGTGTGTAACGGGAGATTTGGAAACGATAAATATGTTGGCTTGTTGGCGCAGTTACCTGTAATCAAAAATCTTTGATTGATTATGTTATATCTTCACCTATGTGTCTACCATTATTTTGTGAATATGATGTCATTGATTTCTTACCGTTTTATTCAGATGTTCACAGACCTCTTCATTTCTCACTTAGTTGCTCCATATGTCCTCAGGAAAATGAACATCACACAGTAAATCCATTCCAGAATGAAAACAGTCAAAGTAAACCCAAACGGTATGATCCCTCTAAATCCGACTTGTTTTGTGTAAAATAAAATATTGAAGAAATAAAATTACTGAAGAAGATGTTCTAGAAGATTGCCATGGGCATCTCGCTAATGCTGCACGGGATAGAAGGCGTGTTTGCTCGAATGTGCAAATGTTAAAAAGAAAGAAGATAGACCCTGGTTCAATAAAGAATGTAGAAATATGAGAAAAAAGTTCAACAAAGCTAAAACTAGATCTAATAAATCCAAAAATCCTTTGAATAAATTTCTGTATCAGCAGATGTCGAAAACATACCAAAAATGTCTTGATAAACATATTAAAAACTTTCAAAAGAGAACTACTGGAAAAATTAGGAATGATAGAAAATACTCCCCAAAAGAATACTGGAAGCTGCTAAATGACAAAGAACCTGATAAAGAACAATCTATACCTAATATCGAATCTTTCTTTGACTTTTTCCAAAAACTAAATGACACTGATAATAATGATGAAGATTATGATGATATCCCAACTGATGATACGATGGAAGAAAATATGTATAATAATGAAGTTCTTAATAAAGATATAACTGAGGACGAAGTAAAATTTGCAATTAAATGTTTGAAAAGAAATAAGGCTTCAGGCATAGATCTTATTGAAAATGATTATTTTAAAGATGCAGCGAATATTCTTACCCCTATTCTAACTTCTGAGTAAGGGATACATTCCGGAATCCTGGCTCAGTGGTATTATTCGACCTATTTATAAGAAAATCGGCGATAGGAATACCCCAAATTCGTATAGACCCATAACGCTCCTAAGTTGCTTTGGAAAATTGTTTACAAGTATATTATAAATGAAAGACTAACATTATTTGCAGAAATCAATCATATCCTCACACCTGCACAAGTAGGATTTAGAAAAGGGTTTTCGACTGCCGATAATGTGTTTATTATGAATATAGTTTTAGAAATATTAAAATTATCTAAGCGTAAACTTTATTGTGTATTTATAGATTTCACTAAAGCCTTTGACACCGTATGGCGCGCAGGGCTGTGGTATAAAATGCTACGATATGGTATCAATGGCAAATTCTTAACGCTTGTTAGAAATATGTATCATAATATAAAATCATCTGTTATCACTGGCTATGAAATGTCTCCCTTCTTTCAATGTAGAAAAGGTGTTAGGCAAGGTGAAAACTTATCACCACTACTATTTTCTATATTTATAAATGATCTTGAATCTTCCTTATTAAGAAATGGATGTACAGGTGTGAACTTTGAAAATGTAAACGAGGATGACATTTACCTTTGGTTACATTTGATTGTCTTATTATATGCCGACGACGCTATCATTTTCAGTGAATCACCTAAGGAACTTCAGAAATCATTAAATAACTTTCATGAATACTGTTTCAAATGGAAACTTAAAGTTAATCTATCTAAAACTAAGATTATCATATTCGGAGGTGGGCCCTCGAAAACAGTCAATTCAAAATTTTCATTTTCGCTGGGGGGGCAGTAAAATTGAAATAGTAGATACATATACTTATCTTGGCGTAAGGTTCCATAGAAATGGTAGGTTCTTGACAGGTATTAAAGCGCTAGTAGAAAATGCAACTAAAGCTATGTTTGCCCTTTTGAAAAAAGCCCGAAATTTAAACCTACCTATTGATTGTACCCTAAAAGCATTTGATACTATGATAAGTCCGATTCTCCTTCATGGATGTGAAGTATGGGGATTTGAAAACCTGAACATTATAGAAAAAGTACATCTCAGATTTTTTAAATTTGCTGTTGGCCTTCGAAGCTCCACTCCAAACTTTATGGTGTATGGCGAGTTTGGCCGAGAACCGCTCTACATCAAATTATACAAACGAGTTATTTCTTTTTGGCATAAAGTAGCAACAAATAACCAATACTGTAAACGCTCATCACTGATGTATAATTTTATCTCTGTTAATAACTTTGGTTGTCAACTCCGATGGATATCTTTTGTTACAAGAATACTTAATACCTGCGGTTTATCAGAGGTTTTCTCAAACCCCCAGAATGTCACCACGTCATGGCTGGTCCTAAAAGTTGAAGCTACTCTAGAGATCAGTTTTTACAACATTGGCGTAGCTCCATAGAAACTAGTTCTAAAGGTCAATTTTATAAATGTTTTAAAGATAAACTATGTTTTGAAAACTACTTATACTTATCCAGGGATATATATTTTCCTATATTAAAACTAAGAACTTGCAACAATAACCTACCAATTCAAACCGGCCGATGGCATTCTATTCAAAAAGAGGAAAGAATATGTAAGCTGTGTAACGCTAACGTTGTTGGGGATGAGTTTCACTATCTCTTTAGATGTGAAACCCTTCTCCAACAGCGAAATACCTATCTCGCGACATATATGTGTGATCTCCAAAAACATTCAATGTTAAAGAAATTATTATGTAATAAAACTACTAAACATCTAAAGAACTTAAAGTCATTTCTGAATGTATTGTATAAATCGCTTACTAAGTTATATTCAAATGATCATGTCCAGCCACTTGCCATGTATATATTTGTTTACCTATGTAGTTATATATTCTCATGTACCACCGTTGGTTGGTTGAGAAATAAACTTCTCTGTCTGTCTGTCTGCCTAACAGGCAGCTTGGGTTATCCAGGGTAATAATAATTAGATTTTGATTACAGCCTCCAGCGAGCAGCTAGTCAGGCGTATACCAGGCGCTATATAAATGAATTATTATCTTTTTTGCATAGGCATGTATTGGGTGAAAATATTTTAGCATTAACAAAACAAATACTCTCTAATATACTTCTCCAAAAGCACTTAAATGCATGCTTGAATACTTACTTTTATTTATGTCGGTGTTTTACAAGGCTGGAATGGAATTACAGCATGTGCAGAAAGGAAAGTCGTTTGTTCGGATTTTATTTAATTATTTCGTCACAAAGACTTTCTTCAGTGAAGTGATATTTGGCATGTTTTCAAAAGTGCGTATCGAAGGTACACAGGAAGTTGGAGGCGTGTTGACAAGGTGGGTGATTGAACCAACAGCTAGGACTGAGTATACTCTGACCTAATTCAATCAAGCATAACACAACCAGTCTTGATGTTGACTTTCGAGTAACGATCACCTTGCACAAGTTCACATAGTCCTTGCAACAGGATATTTCGCAACGATTACTATGAGTCAGTGGAAAGTTTGAAAGTCTGGATATATTTACAAGTATATATTTACAGGGAGGTGTATTGCTGTCTTGTCCCGCTGGCAGAGACGAAGGTTGCTAAGGCAGCAGGTACGTTGTGTGTGTGTGCTCCATAGTGTTAGCTAATGCGTGGTCTACAGTCCGTTTGGCTCAAAAGCGGACCGATGAATTGCAATCTAACTCGAAAACTAATAAACATAAAATACTCAATGAAACGCTGATCATAATCAAAACATCATACCCACTCTGTGAGGTGTTTGCAGAATTTTTGTTCTAAAAATAAAAAATGTTGTTTAACAATCTATCATTAAAATATTGACACAGTTCACTGTTTGTTACGAGGGAGGAGTGCAGAGAAAGGGACAGCCAAGGTTAATCAATAAATAACTTTGTCTGTAAACGTGCTTCTCGAACACCTGGCTGTCCCTTTCTGCAAACACCTCACAGAGTGGGTATGATGTTTTGATTATGATCAGCGTTTCATTGAGTATTTTATGTTTACTAGTTTTCGAGTTAGATTGCAATTCATCGGTCCGCTTTTGAGCCAAAACGGACTATTCATCGGTCCGCTTTGGAGCCAAACGGACTGTAGCATGTAGCATGTTGATCTGCATGTCGGGTAGATTGCGTGACGTCGGGTGGGGTGGGGTGAGTTAGGGAGAGGGCAGGTCCAGGCCGACTGGGTGAAGTTACTGTACTTTTGATGCCTATTTCTATTTAGACCATTAGACCCATTGAATGCTTTAGCACAATATTATCAGTTTGTGTTCCTTCCTGTATATCTAAGCTTGTGTGTATGCCTTCCAGTACATGTATACCTGTATGTATGCCTTCGTGTACATGTATATCTGTGTGTATGACTTCCTGTACATGTATACCTGTATGTATGCCTTCCTGTATATGAATACCTGTGTGTATGCCTTCCTGTATATGTATACCTGTGTGTATGCCTTCCTGTACATGTATACCTGTATGTATGCCTTCCTGTACATGTATACCTGTATGTATGCCTTCCTGTATATGTATATCTGTGTGTATGACTTCCTGTACATGTATACCTGTATGTATGCCTTCCTGTACATGTATACCTGTATGTATGCCTTCCTGTACATGTATATCTGTGTGTATGCCTTCCTGTACATGTATACCTGTATGTATGCCTTCCTGTACATGTATACCTGTATGTATGCCTTCCTGTATATGTATATCTGTGTGTATGACTTCGTGTACATGTATATCTGTGTGTATGCCTTCCTGTACATGTATACCTGTATGTATGCCTTCCTGTATATGTATATCTGTGTGTATGACTTCGTGTACATGTATACCTGTATGTATGCCTTCCTGTATATGTATATCTGTGTGTATGACTTCGTGTACATGTTTACCTGTGTGTATGACTTCGTGTACATGTATACCTGTATGTATGCCTTCCTGTACATGTATACCTGTATGTATGCCTTCCTGTACATGTATACCTGTATGTATGCCTTCCTGTATATGAATACCTGTGTGTATGCCTTCCTGTATATGTATACCTGTATGTATGCCTTCCTGTATATGTATACCTGTGTGTATGCCTTCCTGTATATGTATACCTGTATGTATGCCTTCCTGTATATGTATACCTGTGTGTATGCCTTCCTGTACATGTATACCTGTATGTATGCCTTCCTGTACATGTATACCTGTATGTATGCCTTCCTGTACATGTTTACCTGTGTGTATGCCTTCCTGTATATGTATACCTGTATGTATGCCTTCCTGTACATGTATACCTGTGTGTATGCCTTCCTGTATATGTATACCTGTATGTATGCCTTCCTGTACATGTATACCTGTATGTATGCCTTCCTGTACATGTATACCCGTATGTATGCCTCCTGTATATGTATATGTGTGTGTGTATGACTCTCTGTGTACATGTATATCTGTGTGTATGCCTTCCTGTACATGTATACTTGTATGTATGCCTTCGTGTATATGTATATCTCTGTGTATGTCTTCCTGTATATGTATATCTGTGTGTATGCCTTCGTGTACATGTATACATGTGTGTATGCCTTCGTGTACATGTGTGACTGTATGTATGCCTTCCTGTACATATGTACCTGTGTGTATGCCTTCCTGTACATGTGTGACTGTATGTATACCTTCCTGTATATGTATATCTGTGTGTATGCCATGCTGTACATGTATACCTGTGTGTATGCCTTCCTGTAGATTTATACCTGTGTGTATGCCTTCCTGTATATGTAAATCTGTGTATGCCTTCCTCTGCATGTATACCTGTGTGTATTCCTTCCTGTATATCTATGCTTGTGTGTATTCCTTCTTGTATATGTTTGCCTGTGTGTATGCCTACCTGTTTATGTATGCCTGTGAGTTTGCCTTCCTGTATATACATGCCTGTGTATATGCCTTCCTTTATATGCATGCCTGTGTGTATGCCTTCCTGTATATACATGCATGTGTGTATGCCTTCCTGTATATACAAGCCTGTGTGTATGCCTTCCTGTATATACATGTGTATGTGTATGCCTTCCTGTATATACATGCATGTGTGTATGCCTTCCTTTATGTACATGTGCATGTGTGTATGCCTTCCTGTATATGTATATCTGTGTGTATGCCTTCCTGTATATGCATGCCTGTGTGTATGCCTTCGTGTATATACATGTATGTGTGTATGCCTTCCTGTATATACATGCATGTGTGTATGCATTCCTGTATATGTATATCTGTGTGTATGCCTTCCTGTATACACATGTATGTGTGTATGCCTTCCTGTATATGCATACCTGTGTGTATGCCTTCCTGTATATACATGCCTGTGTGTATGTCTTGCTGTATATACATGTATGTGTGTATGCCTTCGTGTACATGTATGTTTGTGTGTATGCCTTCCTGTATATACATGCCTGTGTGTATCTCTTCCTGTACATGGTTATCTGTGTGTATGCCTTCCTGTGTATGTATATCTGTGTGTATTTGCCTTCCTGGACATGTGTACCTGTGTATTTGCCTTCCTGTTTATGTATACCTGTGTGTATGCCTTCCTGTTTATATATGCCTGTGTGTATGCCTTCTTGTTTAAGTATGCCTGTATGTATGGCTTCTTATATATACATGCCTGTGTGTGTGCCTTACTGTTTATGTATGCCTGTATGTATGGCTTCCTATATATACATGTATGTGTGTCTGCCTTCCTGTATATGCATGCCTGTGTGTATGCTTTTCTGTATATACATGCCTGTGTGTATGCTCTCCTGTTTATGTATGCCTTCCTGTATATACATGCCTGTGTGTATGCCTTCCTGTATATACATGCCTGTGTGTATGCCTTGCTGTATATACATGTATGTGTGTATACCTTCCTGTATATACATGCATGTGTGTGTGCCTTCGTGTACATGTATGCTTGTGTGTATGCCTTCCTGTATATCTATGCCTGTGTGTATCCCTTCCTGTACCTGTATATCTGTGTGTATGCCTTCCTGTGTATGTATACCTGTGTGTATTCCTTCCTGTATATCTATGCTTATGTGTATTCCTTCTTGTATATGTATGCCTGTGTGTATGCCTACCTGTTTATGTATGCCTGTGAGTTTGCCTTCCTGTATATGCATGCCTGTGTGTATGCCTTCCTGTATATACATGCATGTGTGTATGCCTTCCTGTATATACAAGCCTGTGTGTATGCCTTCCTGTATATACATGTATGTGTGTATGCCTTCCTGTATATACATGCATGTGTGTATGCCTTCCTTTATGTACATGCATGTGTGTATGCCTTCCTGTATATGTATATCTGTGTGTATGCCTTCCTGTATATGCATGCCTGTGTGTATGCCTTCGTGCATATACATGTATGTGTGTATGCCTTCCTGTATATACATGCATGTGTGTATGCATTCCTGTGTATGTATATCTGCGTGTATGCCTTCCTGTATACACATGTATGTGTGTATGCCTTACTGTATATGCATGCCTGTGTGTATGCCTTCCTGTATATACATGCCTGTGTGTATGTCTTGCTGTATATACATGTATGTGTGTATGCCTTCGTGTACATGTATGTACCTCGTGTACATGTCTCTCTCTCTCTCTCTCTCTCTCTCTCTCTCTCTCTCTCTCTCTCTCTCTCTCTCTCTCTCTCTCTCTCTCTGTTAGTTATGCTATTTTGCCTGAGCCTAACTGCAAAAGAATTAAAGTAATAATACCGTACCCTGAAACTTCTTTCTGGACAGAGAAGTGCCACGTGACACTCAACCCAGGGGAGTCTGTAATAGCTAATATCTCACATTTGGACAATAAACATTTAGTTCTTTCTACAATCTCTAATTTTAGTGTTTTCCTTTGGGAAATAAGTATGTGCTTATTTCCCAATATCTATTTGATGGTGTATTGTCTCGCTGTTGGAAAATAACTGCCATCTTGCTATTAGAAAATTAAAACATTTCCATTACAAAGTCTCTAATGGGTAGTTTAGTATCTCGCTTTTGAAATTTAACTGCAAGGTTATTACAAAATATCTATTTGATTTTGATTTTGTATTGTATATCTTTTTTAAAAATAACTGCGAGGCTATTTCACAATCTCTAATTTGAAACTATATTGTCTCGCTTTTGTAAAATAAGCACATAATTATTAAGTTCGAATTTTGGTCTTAAAAGCTGATTTGATGGTTAGGCAACTGAAAGTATTAACATGATTTGTACACCCACTCACATAGATGAGTTGCAACAGATATCATGATATTATTGTGTTACTTGCATGCATTGAATTGATAACCCCTGAAGCTATATGCATGCTACTTCATCTATTTCAGCTTCAAGTACAGACGTTGACCACAGATACCGTTAAACAAGAAACATGGCGTGTAAGTATAACGTTCTTATTTAAATTACCTGCAAGAATATTTAAAACGTGTTCAAACAGATATTGTTAGCATAAATGCAATGTTTAAAGTATTTTGTTTACATTGTAATACAGGATAAAATAAAATATGTGGCATGTAATATCATGAGTAATAGTACGGTAAATAGTTCAACAGTTCAGGTAGATATGTTTTCATTTACATATATTTGAATATACTATGTACCAAAGTGATGTTATACCAAGCGGTGTTTATACCAAACACATTTAAATGTTGTTCTATTTTATGTATAAAAGTATGAATGCGTATGTAATCCTGTCAGTGAGTGAGTGAGTGAGTGAGTGATAACTGAACCCAGTCAGACACACCACCCTGTGCTTACGCTGCACAACGGACTTTCCTATTACGCAACCTCTTTACAAAGACTGTTCTCTCTCTGGTTCACAGAATATTGATTGTTACGGTGAAAGCGTATATCGGGTAACACAGTGTTGCCTAATACATAAACAGGTTTAACTGAAATCCGCACGTGGTAACACGAGCCTGGATTATAGAGGTGAGCGCTCATACCAAGGTCAAGGTCATACATGTAAACCCTTTGACTGATCTTTGTATTAATCAATATTTACATTTATAATTTACAATGTAGACTCAAAACATCAAAATGTACATAGGTCTATTTATATGAACATTTCATAAAGCAATATTTCTCGAAACAGGTACAGTATAGGCATTTTAGGGCGTCTCTCGACACGATCTTGTCACTAAAGCAAGGGATTACTTTGGGAAACAAGAACGGGTAGCATGGCGAGATCTCGAGTGACGATAGTGGATGTAGTGCCTAACGACTGCTTGACATGCTATATTGTTTTCTTGTTTTACTCTGCACACATCAATATTCAGATATTTGACGGCGGTCTGTGAATACATCTAGTCTTGAACAAATAATGCGGATTTTGATATTCTGAACACCTTTCAACCACACAAAGCACTCAACACCATCGCACAGCATCATAACACTACAATCTGATTAAAGTACAATTAATCTCGCATGTGTCGATGAACAAAGTAAGAGGCCAATATGAATTTCAAATTTAAAGAAATCTTTTTGCTTTTGTTATGAATATGATTACATTTTCAAATAACTGATTTAATATAATATTTATGCTTTCGCACACCTGCAAATATTTGAACTTGTTGATAAGAATAGCTAAACTATCCGACAAAAGCACAGAGAAAGTCCTGGACCCTAACTGGTTATTGTACCATATATTGACAGACAGACAGACAGACAGATAGACAGCTATATTCGTGATGTGGGCCTATTGGCCTATAATACAGTTTACAATTCATTTGAATAAATTAACAGTGGTAAAAAAATATGGTTTTCATTTTCAATTTCCCGAGCATCACAGTTTGGACAGTAGAAATTCTGTTATCATTGTATCCTTGTTATTCCTATAGTTGTTGGCTTTGAAGTTGTTGTGGGATATTCGAAATTTACAAAATGCCTGCACTGTAGCTGCACGGCTCCTCAGCAAAGCAATTTGTTTCAAAGAGTCGCTCATGTTCAATGACTACAAATTAAAACAACGACATAAAACGCTTCTTGGAAAACCCTGGAATCGGCATTTCATTTAGCCTCAAACACAGAATAACTTTATTGTAAGTGTAGCTCTCATTCGTGTGAACATGTCTCCTCTACCAGAACAGTTCCGAAAGGTTTGCTATCAAACCATGCAGATCCTGTGAACTGAAAAGGGACTTTTCCATTCCTTATCCAATATGGCTAATCGGGTCACACTTATTGTTATCGATTATAAGCTTCATTGAAAGCTCACCCGTTAAAGCTATGGCTCCCACATTCAAGGCCAAACTCGACAAATTATTTATAGAATTCATAGTGTGGTTTGTCAATGTAGACTCCAACTGTTCGATTAATAGGATCAATAGGCTTAGTAAAAGGTGTTCAACCTCTGGATTACTGGGCCAGTCCTCCTTGTGAGAAATGTGAGAGCTCAAAAGGACACTATACGTAGTCTGTTTGCAGTGCAAACGTACCGATGAATTTCACTTTAATTTGTATTACAAGGGGGTAAGTGCAGTAGTTGGAACACTGAAACAAATGCACGCGTGGTACGTGATGAGCGTTAACTTAGACCAACCCTACTTGTTCTCGGTGTTTCATTTAATGTGCACACCCCCTTGTAATACAAACCAATAATAGCGATTTGAAACTAAGATCGTTTGTTAAACAACTTTTATCCTAAGTTTAATAAAATTCTGATATTTAAATGTTCAGTTGGCAAGGTAAAATTATGAGGATTCGCAATCTTAATTTCACTTTATTCGATTTACTTTCTTGTTTAAAGTGAAATTCATCGGTACGTTTTCACTGCAAACAGACTATAGTCTGTCTCACAGTCCCTGAACCACATTATTTGCACCACTGCCTAGCCTTCTCTGCAATGCTAAAACCCTAAATGAAGCAAATCTGAATTTCCCATCTGACTGGGGCTCCTTTTCAATTTAGATGGGTTTGTTTGTTACTATCAAAACTATAATATACATATTCAGAGACTAAGTGTTAGTCTAAAAGGTCCCCTCGTCCATGCAGCTACTGTGACCAACTGTGGTGTAACCTGACCTAATTTACCTTCTGTGATTTTGAGTTAATTCATTTATGCAACATCTATAAAAAATAAGATCGAATAAGGAGCTGGGTTTGAGGCCGTTTTCAAAAATATTCTCTGCATGACACTTTTTAATGGATAACAACAGTAGTTACTTGTTTTATTCCATAAAAATGTCATGCATTTATGTTCTTCCAACTTCTAATGGCTGTCAGAGACAACAGTATACCAACAACCTACACATATGAACGTTCAGTAAATTCATTTATGCAATATCAATAACAATAAGAGCAAATAAGGAGCTGGGTTTAACGCCGTTTTCAACAATATTCTATGCATGACACTTTTTAAAATGAATAACAACTTGCTTTATTCCATAAAAAGTGTCATGTATCGATGTTCAACATCGGTTTCAACAATATTCTATGCATGACACTTTTTAAAATGAATAACAACTTGCTTCATTCCATAAAAAGTGTCATGTATTGATGTTCAACATCGGTTTCAACATCGGTTTCAACAATATTCTATGCATGACACTTTTTAAAATGAATAACAACTTGCTTTATTCCATAAAAAGTGTCATGTATTGATGTTCAACATCGGTTTCAACAATATTCTATGCATGACACTTTTTAAAATGAATAACAACTTGCTTTATTCCATAAAAAGTGTCATGTATTGATGTTCAACATCGGTTTCAACAATATTCTATGCATGACACTTTTTAAAATGAATAACAACTTGCTTTATTCCATAAAAAGTGTCATGTATTGATAGATCGGGTTCAACATCGGTTTCAACAATATTCTATGCATGACACTTTTTAAAATGAATAACAACTTGCTTTATTCCATAAAAAGTGTCATGTATTGATGTTCAACATCGGTTTCAACATCGGTTTCAACAATATTCTATGCATGACACTTTTTAAATGAATAACAACTTGCTTTATTCCATAAAAGTGTCATGTATTGATGTTCAACATCGGTTTCAACATCGGTTTCAACAATATTCTATGCATGACACTTTTTAAAATGAATAACAACTTGCTTTATTCCATAAAAAGTGTCATGTATTGATGTTCAACATCGGTTTCATCGGTTTCAACAATATTCTATGCATGACACTTTTAAAATGAATAACAACTTGCTTTATTCCATAAAAGTGTCATGTATTGATGTTCAACATCGGTTTCAACATCGGTTTCAACAATATTCTATGCATGACACTTTTTAAAATGAATAGCAACTTGCTTTATTCCATAAAAAGTGTCATGTATTGATGTTCAACATCGGTTTCAACAATATTCTGTGCATGACACTTTTTAAAATGAATAACAACTTGCTTGAGAGAGAGAGAGAGAGAGAGAGAGAGAGAGAGAGAGAGAGAGAGAGAGAGAGAGAGAGAGAGAGAGAGAGAGAGAGAGAGAGAGAGAGAGAGAGAGAGAGAGAGAGAGAGAGAGAGAGAGAGAGAGAGGACATGTGCGTTTGCGTGCGAGTGTATAACTCATCTCTGTCAAATGTATGTTTCAGCCATAATAAAGACGTTCAACGCGGTCTCCGAGAGATCAGGCAAAAGTGAGGCTTGATTTTAAGCTGTGTAACGTATAGATGGAGGACATTAAAAACCTCTTTAGTCAATCGGGACATTTCGATAAACAATACTTGGGAATAACTTTATGCTTTTTAAGACCGAATTTGCATAATAGTTTCACTGTGAATGAATGGTATTTGTTACAATAATATTTTCCAATCACAAGTTAATGTAGTAAATATATTGGTTTTATTATTCATCTCATATTATCCTTTCATTGTTTGTATGACAGTTTTTCAAATTGTTTTTTAGCTGGCACACTCATTAGCACCGCTGTCGGCCTTGCAGTTCCAATTGCCATGATAGCAATGGGTGAGGCAGTGTTATGAACTGTTCGTATGCGGACCTTATCACTGGCAATGATCCAATAATTGCGTTAAGATCGGTTGTTTGTGTATTTTATAAAACGATTTTACAGTATCTGTACTTCTTTTATAATGGATAAAAGCACTTAAGCTACACCTAACTTTGCATCTGTCAATACCCTTTTATAACAGGTTTTAGCATCAATTAATAGTGATCAAGATAACGGGTACACTTCGTTTAACATATAACATATAAAATAATGCATTTGAGCGCACTGCCCTAACGGATTGATAATATTCTTCTGCTCTTTAATTCCTTTATACGAAGTAGAAATCTAAACGTTGCCTACGAATCAATCAAAATCACGTGACAGAATTGAATCTTACTTCAATCCAAAAGCAGTTTGGAATTGTTTTAGTATTATTTCGTTGTAGCACTATCACTCGTATATATGTTATATAAACACACGTACACGCACGCATATGCATGAACACGAACACACACACGAACACACACACGAACACACACACACACACACACACACACACACACACACACACACACACACACATACATGCGTATGCTATATACATAATGTCATTTTCAGCCTCATCCACCCCTCCCCTCTCTCTCTCTCTCAAACTATACTTCACTAACAACTGTGGAGTTATCTCTCATTTGATAGATAGGAGGTGGCGTCTCATTAGGCTGTGAGCAAAGGCAAACCAATCTGACTGCCACCATATAGCTGGAATATTGCTGAGTGCGGCGTAAAACTAAACGCACACACGCACACACGCACGCGCGCACGCACACATTCATACATACATACAAACATACCTGAGTGTTGAAACATGTAAAGCGGGTCGCATGGGACCAAATTCTGTCGTGATACTGATACAACTGATGATGTTCGTTGATTCCAGGACTTATCCACAGGGAGGACTGCCCTGCTCAGAAGTACATCGCTATCTACCTGATCGTAGCAGGAGCCTTCGCAGCGATCATGTCTGTACTGCGACTAGCGGTTAAGATGTGGTGCTCGGACTCAGATGGAAACGTACCTTTACCTTTTTCAATTGCTAACGGCGTCATCGCAATCTTCCTGTTAGCCTGGTTTATTGCAGGTAGAAAATTAAACAGGTTTATAAACATGCCATTGTCATTTGCATCATTCATAAGTTATATGGAAAATATATTAAATGTTTTTGGCGTGTGTTTGCGTTACAAATGTATTATTAAGCATGTTTTAGATCATTTGTGCATGCATAAGATAGAGAAGAGTCGAGTCTTTGACTGGCATTAAGAATTTGGCAGAGGATGAAGGCATAAAACCTTTAGGCCAACACTTCGTTATGGATGGTTTCTCTGACCTACAAATAGTTGCATCGTTTTGGACTTAGTGGTGAAACGGTACCCTCTTACCACGGTACGGTACGTATTACGGTACAAGGCCTTCGGTTCGGTACATGAGATATGATGATAATGCAGAAAATGAGCCAAAACAAGAGCCAAACCTAGATAGATTTTGACAAAATGGTTCGACTTCCAGACATTTTTGAAAAGGTTAACAAGATGACGGTACGAAACCCGAAAATACCGAATTTTTGGATTGCAGTACGGTATACCAAACTGAAGGCAAAATACCGCGGTTCTACTAATACCGCGGTATACCGTTTCACCCCTAATTGGACTAATAGATATGATATAATAAACATGTGAAGACATTGTGATTGAGTTGAGTGGGCTACCCAAAGGATAAATGTGTGTTTTGAAGTACTGTTACAATATTACAGTAGAAGTGTCTGATGGTAATTGTACATGCTCCAGTTGAGCATATACGGGATAGATAGATCTCCTTATCGCTGTTAATAACATAATATATATGTTCCTTTCAATTCCGTTTTTGGTCTCCCCCAACTATATATCCAACGGCTGATGTAGTGATTTATTTTCAGGCAACGTGTGGGTTTACGGCCTGTACGGCAAGTACAACCAAACAGACATCACTGCCGACAACTACTGCAAGCACGACTTCTACTTGTTTGCATTCTGGCTCATCACGGCTGGTTATATTCTTCTCGGAGCCTGCATCCTTCTGGGCTGCTTCGTTGCCTGCTGTTGTCGAAATTAGTCGACCACACCACTGTTTGGCTGGTTTGACTTGCACAATGAAGCCTTCGGGATAATGATGTTTATTTGAAACACTAAATGAAAAAACAATGACAGTTGGCTACAGTTGGCAATTTTGTACGTGCTTTCTTAAGAGATTGTAGTATGTGAATATCTTATTTGTGTGTGGAAGCGAGGTCTATACGTGCAAGGGTATGTGGCTATTTCAAGATTAGAGGCACGCTTGCAATCGAGCTGTTCTTTCATGAACGGTCGAGATGTTGGCTTTGTGTAGCGAATACACAAAGCAGTTCAACGTCATGAATCAGTGTGAAAGAAGTGATAGTGAGATGACATATACAGTATATACGAGAAGGGGAACTTTAGTCCATGCGTTACGTCAGGCCTTCTGATTCGATTACCATTTTGTAGTGTGTTCTTAGACGAGCTGTACAAATAATATTTGTTATCACATTTCATTTTAGGAACTGTTATATTCTGGAGCCGAAAGTAGAATATTGTTTGAACATAATATGAAAACAAAAAGCCACGATAACACATACCATTATCCATACTTTACTTCCAGCTTCAAATTATATTGAAATATGATTATTTTTAGCCTTGGTCACATGTGTAAAACCTGGAAGTATCTCTAGAAGTGATTACAAAGAGGTTTAGAATAACCTTTTCCGTAGTTTACATTTCGTTGCTTGTCAGTTAGGTATAGATGTGTCATGATTATATTGCAAAGTGTTTTCTTGTGCTTACCGTTGCAAATCTGTACACCAATGCCATTTATAAAGGCCTTTTTTAGCACTTCTTACATTAAATATTATTTATTAGGGTTTAGCATTAGGGTATTTGATACCGTCTTTTATATCGTGGTTTTGCACACATGGTCTTTATTGAATAAAAATGCAAATGTAAGTGAACTTGTGTTTTCTATAACAGGGTCAGTGGGGTAGCTTACTGGTTAAAGCGTTGGCTCGTCACGCCGAAGACCCGGGTTCGAATCCCCACATGGGTACAATGTGTGAAGCCCATTTCTGGTGTCCCCAGCCGTGATGTTGCTTGAATATTGCTAAAAGCGGCGTAAAACCAAACTCAGTCAGTCTCTATAACATATTTTCTCAAATTAATTACAATTTGACATGGACACATCCGTGTAAGTTATGATTGATTGATTGTTGTTTAACGCCGCACTCAATATTCCAGCTATATGGCGGCTATCTGTAAATCATCGAGTCTGGACCAGACAATCCAGTGTCTGAAGATCCGGGTTAGAATTGGTCTTCAGTAACCCATGTTACGAGTTTTTTCATTCTAACGGGATTCTTCAGTAACCCATGTTACGAGTTTTTTTCATTCTAACGGGATCAGGTGGTCAGGCTCGCTCCCAATTGCGTACATTGATGCTTATGATGTTGATCACTGGGTTGTCTGGTCCAGTTTGTTAAACAAACAAACAAAACAAACATACTACTCTTTTGATTGTGACCAAAGAAAGTAAGACTTCGTGGATGGCTTAAACAACGTCACGCTCCTCAAATTCTTTCATCGTGAATCGGATAAATCTTAAAGTAATTAACGTTCAAAGCTCAGGAACTTACATCAATTTTTGAAATTTTATTTTATTCACCTGCATAAACCTCAAAGCGTTCGTAAAATCTTCCAATGCAGGTCACTCTCGGGAAATATGTCAATCACTCGCGTTTATGCTCAATTGCTGATTGAAACTGATTAATGGATTCCAGAACACTCGGTGTTTTTCACGTGGTATTTTTTTTCAGTCACCGTATACTACTATGCCAGTCTCCACCTCGTGCACCTGTTGCTATGACAGGTACACTAACGTCACTCCTGGAAGACACATTTGTTTATGTGCCTGTATATATCATTATATATATGTGCATTCCTTACGTCAGAACATGTATATAATAATGAATGGGGAAATTGCACGTTTTAACGTATTTCAGCTGCTCTCTAGGCCTCTGGGTCAATTTTTGAGTGCCACATGTCAGTTATTTAGCTTGCACTGTTCGGGTTCACAGCCAGATTGTCCATAACGACATCAGTTATTTAGCTTGCACTGTTCGGGTTCACAGCCAGATGGTCCATGACAACATCAGTTATTTAGTTTGCCCTGTTCAGGTTCACAGCCAGGTGGTCCATAACAACATCAGTTATTAATCTTGCACTGTTCAGGTTCACAGCCAGGTGGTCCATAACAACATCAGTTATTTAGCTTGCACTGTTCAGGTTCACAGCCAGGTGGTCCATAACAACATCAGTTATTAATCTTGCACTGTTCAGGTTCACAGCCAGGTGGTCCATAACAACATCAGTTATTTAGCTTGCACTGTTCGGGTTCACAGCCAGGTGGTCCATAACAACATCAGTTATTTAGCTTGCACTGTTCAGGTTCACAGCCAGGTGGTCCATAACAACATCAGTTATTTAGCTTGCACTGTTCAGGTTCACAGCCAGGTGGTCCATAACAACATCAGTTATTAATCTTGCACTGTTCAGGTTCACAGCCAGGTGGTCCATAACAACATCAGTTATTTAGCTTGCACTGTTCGGGTTCACAGCCAGGTGGTCCATAACAACATCAGTTATTTAGCTTGCACTGTTCAGGTTCACAGCCAGGTGGTCCATAACAACATCAGTTATTAATCTTGCCCTGTTCAGGTTCACAGCCAGGTGGTCCATAACAACATCAGTTATTAATCTTGCACTGTTCGGGTTCACAGCCAGGTGGTCCATAACAACATCAGTTATTTAGCTTGCACTGTTCAGGTTCAAAGCCAGGTGGTCCATAACAACATCAGTTATTAATCTTGCACTGTTCGGGTTCACAGCCAGGTGGTCCATAACAACATCAGTTATTTAGCTTGCACTGTTCAGGTTCAAAGCCAGGGGGTCCACAACAACATCAGTTATTAATCTTGCACAGTTCGGGTTCACAGCCAGGTGGTCCATAACAACATCAGTTATTTAGCTTGCCCTGTTCGGGTTCAAAGCCAGGTGGTCCATAACAACATCAGTTATTTAGCTTGCACTGTTCAGGTTCAAAGCCAGGGGGTCCACAACAACATCAGTTATTAATCTTGCACAGTTCGGGTTCACAGCCAGGTGGTCCATAACAACATCAGTTATTTAGTTTGCCCTGTTCAGGTTCAAAGCCAGGTGGTCCATAACAACATCAGTTATTTAGCTTGCACTGTTCGGGTTCACAGCCAGGTGGTCCATAACAACATCAGTTATTTAGCTTGCACTGTTCAGGTTCAAAGCCAGGGGGTCCACAACAACATCAGTTATTAATCTTGCACAGTTCGGGTTCACAGCCAGGTGGTCCATAACAACATCAGTTATTTAGCTTGCACTGTTCGGGTTCACAGCCAGGTAGTCCACAACAACATCAGTTATTTAGCTTGCACAGTTCGGGTTCACAGCCAGGTGGTCCATAACAACATCAGTTATTTAGCTTGCACTGTTCGGGTTCACAGCCAGGTGGTCCATAACAACATCAGTTATTTAGTTTGCACTGTTCGGGTACACAGCCAGGTAGTCCACAACAACATCAGTTATTTATCTTGCACTGTTCGGTTACACATAGATAGTCCATAACAAGATGAGTCATTTAGCTTGCACTGTTCGGTTACAGACAGATTGTCCATAACAAAATCAGTTATTTAGCTTGCACTGTTCAGGTACACGCAGAGATGATCCATAGCAACTTCAGTGTTTCAGAAAATAATTCTGATCAAATTCGCAAGACCCAGATGCCAGGTTTATCGCTTGAAATACTGAATTACTGAAACCGCAGTGAAGATATACTGAAGAAAAAGACGAGATTGGTGGCTTCATATTGGCTCGGGGTGCAGTGAAATAAACTATATACATGTATGCAAAAAAGGAAAATATTTTAGTATCAAGAAAAAAAATACTCTCTAATAGATAGTTCGCTAAAATATACTTAAATGCATGATTGAAAAATCTTACTTTTGTTTTTGTCGTTGGTTGACAAGGCCGGAATGTCGTAGAATGTGCAGAAAACAAGGAATCGGTGCCTCAGTCTACCAACTGTTCAATAATAAAGATATTATGGTTCAAAATATTCCGGATAAGTTAAATGTGTTCCACTGACAAATACATTTATCATCCTAAACTGTGTTCCACAGGAGATATCGCTTGTGTGAGATCAAACGATATCATTTTGACAGTAGATTTTATACAATGCCCTGACAATGCTATGGCGTCATGTACTTGATGACGTCACAATGCTATGACATCGCTGCACTGCAAGTGTAATGGCAGTACCGTGTTGAGAGATGTACATATTTCATTGAAAATTAATGAAAAGTGAATTTGGATGATAAATAGAATCTCACCCTCGTGTCTTCTGATATCAATATATCAACACTCGTTGATAAAAGTTAAAATATCCTCGGCAAGCCTCGGATATTTGTAACTTTATCAACTCGTGTTGATATAATTGATATACACTTTGGGTGAATTCTTAGTAGTCTTCAAGCCCAGGGGCGGATACAGCTTTTGAGAAGGGGGTGCACACTATTGAGAAAGGGAGGGTGCACACTTCATTTTCACCCGAGTTTCAATGGTCATTTAATAAACTTTCAGGACAAAGCACCCCTGCTCTGATCGCCTATGCAGCCCATGCCTGTCGTAAGAGGCTACTAACGGGATCGGGTGGTCAGGCTCGCTGACTTGGTTGACACATGTCATCGTATCCCGATTGCGTAGATCGATGCTCATGCTGTTGATCACTGGATTGTCTGGTCCAGACTCGATTTTTTACAGGTCCTCGCCATATAGCTGGAATATTGCTGGGCGGCGTTAAACAACAAACAAACAAACCAACTGTCACCATCCAGGAAGATTCATTCCCATTGAGTTTGCACTGCGGCCGTGAACACCAGTCCACCTACTGGCAAACAAGGATAAGTTGGACCTGCGCAGAGAACGCGTTTACGAGAAATAGGCGGTACACGGCGATGAGCAAACCCATTTGGTTTGTGAAAGGTAGGGCAGATGTAGGCTAGTGCACGTGCATTGCATGACGATGAAATTGATTCCTGTCACTGTCACTCCGTGTTTGCTGAGACAGGCCACGCGCTTCACCCATCGCGCTACACTTGATCAACCTGGGGCCCCTTCGCTAACAATGGCAAGCGCCAGTGGGCGGCACTCGTACATGCTAAAACGGTTCAGTTGTCAGGTCGGTGCTCAACTTATCCTTGTTTGCCAGTAGATGCTGTATCATCCATGTCGAGATAGGCGTCGTACGTGTAAATTTCTTCTTTCAATATTTATTTACAAAATAATCCCAATAACGTGAGATTCATATGCTTTGTTTTCCCGGATTTAATGATTAAAATATTGAAAACGTCAAACGCTGTGAAGATGTACTGAAAAAAAAATGAATGTTAATTGTTTTAAAGATATTAAAGGATATCAAAGACGCAGGAATAGATGAAGTATTTGTAAACGCATCGCCACCATCTTCTTCAGTTAACAGAGATCTTAGATTTACATTAATTGTATATACATTTATCATCCAAAGCTGTGTTCCACAAGAGATATCGCTTTGTGTGAGATCAAACGATATCATTATCATTTTGACAGTAGATTTTGTACAATGCCATGACAAGGCTATGGCGTCATGTACTTGATGACGTCACAATGATATGACATCGCTGCACTGCAAGTGTAATGGCAGTACCGTGTTGAGAGATGTACATATTTCATCGAAAATTAATGAAAAGTGATTTTGGATGATAAATAGAATCTCACCCTCGTGTCTTCTGATATCAAATATATCAACACTCGTTGATAAAAGTTAAAATATCCTCGGCAAACCTCGGATATTTGCAACTTTATCAACTCGTGTTGATATAATTGAT